GGGGGGGGGGGTCAATTACCCCTTTTATAAAATTAACTACAAGATAATTAGATAGATTGAGGCCTGTCACCCAGCTAAAATGAAATCAGAATGGCATTTTGAACCTGCCTTTTGCAAATAAGAACTTTAAATTCTTAAAGTTTGGTTTTCTGTCATCTGTGACCCACTCCTTCCTTGCCTTCCATGAGTAGACGGCTAACTCTGGAGCCAGTAAACATGGCTTATTAGCAATCAAATACTTTTTAAAGAACTCATCATAGGATATAGCCTCTGTGAGGACATCTATACTCCTCACTAACTGGTCTTGGTCAGCCTTTGACTCTGTGTTTCTTTCTTTCAAGATGTTCTCATGAGGAAACTGTTCCAGGGTAGATGCAGACAGAGAGGGTGCACCAAATAATCCTTGCACTTGTAAAGACATTTACTTTCTAGTTCTCAGAGTCATAGTATACCACAGAAAACTTCGGGGAAATTATATGAATCCTGAAAATTAAAATTTCACATAATGCAAGTTTATTTTTCAATTTTGGATAATTTGAAAATTTTGAAATAAATTTTAGAAATAAATTTGTTCATTTACCTTTAATTTGATGTGTTATTTTTCATATCAGAGTGAAATTTTACTGCCTGGGCCAGTTGCATTTTAGTGCTTATTTTGGCAGACTGGCGGCAGCACCTTACGGGTCATGTCATGTCACTGGCAAGCTATACCATTAATGTACAGTGATTTTTTTAATATTGTTTAGGCCTTGAGTAGAAGTATTTAAACCTGAAGTGTTGTGTTTTTTGATGCATGGGAAATTTTTTTAAGAGAATTAAACGTTACAATGGAAGTGAATGGGATTTTTAATAGTGGTTTGTAACCTAAATGGCAAAGCCTTCCAGTGACATGACCCGTAAGGTGCTGCCGCCAGTCGGCCAAAATAAGCACTAAAATGCAGCAGGGGGGGGGCATGTAAAACTGGCCCCAGGCAGTAAAATTTTACCTTAATATGAAAAATAACACATTAAATAAAAGGTAAATGAACAAATTTATTTCTCAAATTTATTTCAAAATTTTCAAATTATCCAAAATTGAAAAATAAACTCATTTTTCTCTTATATGCAATATAGTGTATATATATAAAGATGTCACATTGATTTTTTTTTTTTTTTTTTTTTTTTTTTAAGGCAATTTTTTTACTGACAATCATTGCTCAACCTTTCCCTACACTCAGGCTTGATTTTTCATAACATTTTTATCTCAGTACTGTAATTCTAATAATATAATGATTGGTTATGTTTTCCTTTAATTTTCAGATGGAAACAAAGACATCTGGTACTTTTATTTGTGGAGTTTTACCTTTTTTATAAAAAGTTTGTGAAGGTCTGGATAGGGAAGATAAGAAGCTTAGCAAGATATGTAGACATAAAAAGTAAAGAAATTATATATCTCTTTATCTAAAGTCCTTCTAAGACAAAAATAGAGTGGACAATAAACAGGATTTTTTCAGTCACAATAATTGTGATAAATACCCATCTTGCAAACAACACTCACACATTTTTATAATTTATTGTAAGAATCAACCTGTAACACAATATACCTGGTCACAAGATTGACCACATCAAGTATGTGACATACTTTTAATATAATAAGTATCATAAAATTATAAATTATGAATTATAATATTGGTAATGCAGGCAGAAGAATTATTTTCAGATTGAATGAAGAATGAAGAATGAAGAAATGCCAATCAGAGAGCAATATATAAAATTCAGCTAAATTTCAGCTGAAGTAGACGGACTGCTTGACTAATGATGTGATTCAATCTTTTTTACATATATGAGGTTGTAAAAAAAGTTACAAAAAAGAACTTCAAATGTCAAGAGATAATTCTGTTAAACTAACAGATTCTTTGATTAAAATGCCCTTGTTCACTGTCCACAAGTCTCTGGACTAGTTCAAAGATCAAAGTCATTAAACACCTAGTTCTCTGTCAAGCAGCAGTTGAATCCGAATCTTTGACTTCACTGGCTTCCGACTCATTGATTAGTTCTGAGGAAACCTCTGTGAATAATTGGTCCCAGTCCCATGGTTTATCCTCCTGTTGAAAATGAGATGACAGATAATTTTTAAAGTCTACAACTCCTATTTAATCAACACTTCCTCTTTCAAAGATATACCTTTATTAATTTTAAAAAGCTTTATTACATCAAATCTTTAATTTATTCATTCATTTATTTTGTGGATTTTGTAAATTTGCAAATTAATTCTACTGGAATATTTCACATTATAGATAGATCCAGTAACAGTTTTCATATCTTGAATANATCAAGTATGTGACATACTTTTAATATAATAAGTATCATAAAATTATAAATTATGAATTATAATATTGGTAATGCAGGCAGAAGAATTATTTTCAGATTGAATGAAGAATGAAGAATGAAGAAATGCCAATCAGAGAGCAATATATAAAATTCAGCTAAATTTCAGCTGAAGTAGACGGACTGCTTGACTAATGATGTGATTCAATCTTTTTTACATATATGAGGTTGTAAAAAAAGTTACAAAAAAGAACTTCAAATGTCAAGAGATAATTCTGTTAAACTAACAGATTCTTTGATTAAAATGCCCTTGTTCACTGTCCACAAGTCTCTGGACTAGTTCAAAGATCAAAGTCATTAAACACCTAGTTCTCTGTCAAGCAGCAGTTGAATCCGAATCTTTGACTTCACTGGCTTCCGACTCATTGATTAGTTCTGAGGAAACCTCTGTGAATAATTGGTCCCAGTCCCATGGTTTATCCTCCTGTTGAAAATGAGATGACAGATAATTTTTAAAGTCTACAACTCCTATTTAATCAACACTTCCTCTTTCAAAGATATACCTTTATTAATTTTAAAAAGCTTTATTACATCAAATCTTTAATTTATTCATTCATTTATTTTGTGGATTTTGTAAATTTGCAAATTAATTCTACTGGAATATTTCACATTATAGATAGATCCAGTAACAGTTTTCATATCTTGAATAGTCTTACCTCAATGACTTCAGATTCTGCTGATAAAACTTTGGTCAGTAATTTGAGATCAATCTCGTTATCCTACGGAGAAAAAAAAAACACAATCAAAAAGTCTCTTTTCAACATTGCTGGCTTTTAAGACATAAAACATAAAGGATGAATGAACAAGTCAAAACTACAATACCAAACAATTTAGATGAATTCTAATATTTTTAAGCAATTATGAGTAATGAAGTGATGCCATATATCTTATAGGTTCTGGTGCAGGTGCTTTTAATATCTTGCACATTCTAATGCCAATCATATTAAGTTATTCCTTTTAAGAAATCAATATAACAAATTTATATCACACAAATATAAACAAAAACAAGTTCAAAAATCACAAGAAAATCAATCGACATCTTAAAAGATTAAGACAGCAACCTTGGTCAGTAACTAATCACTTTATTTTGAGGTAGGAAGTGGTATATTTGATAAATGAAATTCCAAATGAGGCAAAACATTTAACAGACATACAAAACATTCTGTCATAGTCAGGACAAAGTGAAGTCACTCGTTTTCTTTCTTTTTTTTTCTGAATTTTACAGCACAACAGAGAAAAAATCAAAACAGTATAAATGAATGACAGGGAATGAAATGAAGCAAAAAGGGGTATATCATTTAGTCTCCACACAGGGTTGTATCAATGCCTACCATTTTGTAAAACTGAAATTTTCAACAAATGCTGATCAAATATCTGTGAATCTCGAACAGTGCATAAGTAAAAATATATAATATATTTCATTTCTCCAATCTCTGAGAAATCAAGTTAGAAACTGTTTAAAGGTATAAACAAATATACTCGAAAATCTCTGAAATGCATTGCAGATATAAGTTGACCACCTGTTATCAATGTATAAGTTAAAACATTTCCCAAAACTTAACATGTATCATGAGTAAATTTACTTTGACAAAAGATCAATGCTGACATCAGGTTTCACTCAAACTTAAAATGGGCAAACAGACAAGCAGATGTCTAGACTGCTTAAAAAACATGGGATGAAAAGGGTCTAAGGAGCAATATTGCTTCCTGTGTGATCTTACAGGCAAGTTGTGTCAACGGTGCTATTTTAAGTCTAAGTCAATCCTGATGTGACCACTGCCTTGGTGCCATGATACTTACTAGTCTGGAATGCTGCATGTCTTAGAAGGTCATTAATTNCTTCCAGTGACAATGACATGACCCGTAAGGTGCTGCCGCCAGTCGGTCAAAATAAGCACTAAAATGCAGCAGGGGATAGGACATGTAAAACTGGCCCCAGGCAGTAAAATTTCACCTTGATATGAAAAATAATACATCAAATAAAAGGTAAATGAACAAATTTATTTCTAAAATTTATTTCAAAATTTTCAAATGATCCAAAATTGAAAAATAAACTCATTTTTCTCTTATATGCAAATCTTCTTGCTTCACACCAATAGTATATATAAAAAGATACGTGTGTGTGTTCCATTGTTTTTTAAGAATGTACATCCTTTTTTTTTTTCATGTTTTAAATAAATGACCCATTTTAACATAGATTAATGCTACTTATTATTATAATAATGATTTCTAAGGTTTAATATCTCATATTTAAAGCCCATATTAAAGAACATCCTAATCAGGATTTTCATGTCACATTGATTTTTTTTGTAAGGCCGTTTTTTTTTACTGACAATCATTGCTCAATCTTTCCCTACACTCAGGTTTGATTTTTCATAACATTTTTATCTCAGTACTGTAATTCTAATAATATAATGATTGGTTATGTTTTCCTTTAATTTTCAGATGGAAACAAAGACATCTGGTACTATTATTTGAGGAGTTTTACCTTTTTTATAAAAAGTTTGTGAAGGTCTGGATAGACCACCCTGAGCTTCAGAGATAACTTGACACTAACCTCTTCACTATTAGCCTATCTTCATCGTGTCAAGGCTATAGTGAAGAGGTTAGTGTCAAGTTATCTCTGAAGCTCAGGGTGGGATAGACATTCATAGACATAAAAAGTAAAGAAATTATATATCTCTTTATCTAAAGTCCTTCTAAGACAAAAATAGAGTGGACAATAAACAGGATTTTTTCAGTCACAATAATTGTGATAAATACCCATCTTGCAAACAACACTCACACGTTTTTATAATTTCTTTATTGTAAGAATGAACCTGTAACATAAAATACCTGGTCACAAGATTGACCACATCAAGTATGTGACATACTTTTAATAAAATAAGTATCATAAAATTATAAATTATGAATTATAATATTGGTAATGCAGGCAGAAGAATTTTTTCAGATTGAATGAAGAATGAAGAAATGCCATTCAAGGAGAGCAGTATATAAAATTCAGCAAAATTTCAGCTGAAGTGGACGGACTGCTTGACTAATGACGTGATTCAATCTTTTTTACATATATGAGGTTGTAAAAAAAGTTACAAAAAAGAACTTCAAATGTCAAGAGATAATTCTGTTAAAGTAACAGATTCTTTGATTAAAATGCCCTTGTTCACTATCCACAAGTCTCTGGACTAATTCAAAGATCAAAGTCATTAAACATCTAGTTCTCTGTCAAGCAGCAGTTGGATCCGAATCTTTGACTTCACTGGCTTCCCACTCATTGATTAGTTCTGAGGAAACCTCTGTGAATAATTGGTCCCAGTCCCACGGTTTATCCTCCTGTTGAAAATGAGATGACAGATATTTTTTAAAGTCTACAACTCCTACTTATTCAACACTTCCTCCTTCAAAGATATACCTTTATTAATTTTAAAAAGCTTTATTAAATGAAATCTTTTATTTATTCATTCATTTGTTTTGTGGATTTTGTAAATTTGCAAATTAATTCTACTGGAATATTTCACATAATAGATAGATTCAGTAACAGTTTTCATATCTTGAATAGTCTTACCTCAATGACTTCAGATTCTGCTGATAAAACTTTGGTCAGTAATTTGAGATCAATCTCATTATCCTAGGGAGAAAAAAAACACAATCCAAAAGTCTCTTTTCAACATTGCTGGCTTTTAAGACATAAAACATATAGAGGCTGAATGAACTACAATACCAAACAATTTAGATGAATTCTAATATTATTAAGCAATTATGAATAATGAAGTGATGACATATATCTTATAGGTTCTGGTGCAGGTGCTTTTAATATCTTTCATATTCTAATACCAATCATAATAAGTTAATCCTTTTTAGAAATTAATATAACAAATTTATATCACACAATGGAAACAAAAACAAGTTCACAAGAAAAAAATTTTAAAAATCAACACAGCATCCTAAAAGATTTAGACAGTAACCTTGGTCAGAAACTAATCACTTTATTTTGAGGTAGTAAGTGGTATGTTTGATAACTGAAATTCTAAATGAGGTAAAACATTTAACAGACATACAAAACATTCTGTCATAGTCAGGATATAGTGAAGTCACTCGTTTTCTTTCTTTTTTTTTTTCAGAATTTTACAGCACAACAGTAGAAAAAATCAAAACAGTATAAATGAATGACAGGGAATGAAATGAAGTAAAAAGGGGTAGATCATGTAGTCTCCACACAGGGTTGCATCAATGCCTACCATTTTGTAAAACTGAAATTTTCAACAAATACTGATCAAATATATGTGAATCTCACACTGTGCATAAGTAAAAATATATATTATATTTCATTTCTCCAATCTCTGAGAAATCAAGTTAGAAACTGTTTAAAGGTATAAATAAAAATCTCTGAAATGCAATGCCGATACAAGTTGACCACCTGTTATGAATGTATAAGTTAAAACATCTCCAAAGATTTAAAATGTATCATGAGTAAATTGACTTTGACAAAAGATCAATGCTGACATCAGGTTTCACTCAAACTTTTAAATAGGCAAACAGACAAGCAGATGTCTAGACAGTAGACTGCTTAAAAAACATGGGATGAAAAAGGTCTAAGGAGCAATTATATAGCTTCCTGTGTGATCTTACAGGCAAGTTGTGTCAACTTTGTTATTTTAAGTCTAAGTCAATCTGAATGTGAACACTACCTTGGTGCCATGATACTTACTAGAGTCTGGAATGCTGCATGTCTGAGAAGGTCATTGTCTAGTTCCCTGTATGTTGCTACTCTGTTCACTTTGCTGAATGGTAGAAAAAATTAACACCAATTTATATAATATCAACATTGCTTTAACATAAATATTTTATACACTCACTTTGTCTAATAAGTGTAAAAAAAGTCAGGTTTATGGTATATATTTATATATCTTATTTAAAGGAAATTACCAACAATTTTTTAAAAATAAACATTGTATTCTATGCATAGCCAATCTTAACAGAAGAACATATGAAAAATTTAGTGTCTATTGTACATTTGTATAATGTACATCTGCTTTAAAATATACCCAAATACCCCAGTGGCAGATTTAGGCAGGGGGTCCTGATCCCCAGCCACCTCCCATTCCATTTCTGAAAAATCACACTATTGGTCCCCTTTTGAAATTAGAATGTTTCTTTTCTTTAGCTGAATCATAGGACTAAACTGTACCAAATGACACCCTTCTCCCTCTAAAATATCAATTTTTTTCAGGGTCCTTCACACTGGGGGGGGGGGTCAATTACCCCTTTTATAAAATTAACTACAAGATAATTAGATAGATTGAGGCCTGTCACCCAGCTAAAATGAAATCAGAATGGCATTTTGAACCTGCCTTTTGCAAATAAGAACTTTAAATTCTTTAAGTTTGGTTTTCCGTCATCTGTGACCCACTCCTTCCTTGCCTTCCATGAGTAGACGGCTAACTCTGGAGCCAGTAAACATGGCTTATTAGCAATCAAGTACTTTTTAAAGAACTCATCATAGGATATAGAATCTGTGAGGACATCTATACTCCTCACTAACTGGTCTTGGTCAGCCTTTGACCCTGTGTTTCTTTCTTTCAAGATGTTCTCATGAGGAAACTGTTCCAGGGTAGATGCAGACAGAGAGGGTGCGCCACATAATCCTTGCACTTGTAAATACCTCTCCCCCGCCACCCCCCCACCCCCCTTCCCAAAGAAAAAACCACGAAGTTTCATGATGCGTTAGTACTCCATACATATTTATGGTTTTTTATATGCGCTATGAGTGCTTCTCCCCTCCGGCCTCTAATACACTATTTAAAAGAAATAGCACGAAAGTCATGCGTTGGCACTCCTAAATATTGACGATATTTTGTGCTACCCCCTGTAAGTACAAGTGATGTACGTACTCCCCCCCCCCCTCCCCCACTCCCGACACTTTCGTTCACCAATGCAGCAATTGTACACAGGTTGGATTCTTACTTTTATCACATAAGGTTGAATACATTGCTCATGCCTGTCTTCCCGTCTAAGCCAAACTCGTACACCGTTAAAGGCAAGAGCTAGGTGTAGTAGCCTACTTGTTGTGCACTGGCCGCTTGCACGTTTTCCCATTAGGTCACAAACCACTATTAAAAATCCCATTCACTTCCATTGTGACGTTTAATTCTCTTAAAAATACTTTCCATGCTTCAACAAACACAACACTTCAGGTTTAAATACTTCTACTCAAGGCAATATAAAAAAATCTGGGTACATTAATTAATGGCATAGCCTTCCAGTGACAATGACAAGACCCGTAAGGTGCTGCCGCCAGTCGGTCAAAATAAGCACTAAAATGCAGCAGGAGGGAGGACATGTAAAACTGGCCCCAGGCAGTAAAATTTCACCTTGATAGGAAAAATAACACATCAAATAAAAGGTAAATGAACAAATTTATTTTAAAATTTATTTCAAAATTTTCAAATGATCCAAAATTGAAAAATAAACTCATTTTTCTCTTATATGCAAATCTTCTTGCTTCAAACCAATAGTATAAAAAGATGCGTGTGTGTGTTCCATTGTTTTAAAGAATGCACATCCTTTTTTCATGTTTTAAATAAATGACCCATTTTAACATAGATTAATGCTACTTATTAAACCTTAGAAATCATTATTATAATAATATCTCATATTTAAAGCCCATATTAAAGAATAGCCTACTCAGGATTTTCATGTCACATTGATTTTTTTAAGGCAATTTTTTTACTGACAATCATTGCTCAGCCTTTCCCTACACTCAGGTTGATTTTTCATAACATTTTTATCTCAGTACTGTAATTCTAATAATATAATGATTGGTTATGTTTTCCTTTAATTTTCAGATGGAAACAAAGACATCTGGTACTTTTATTTGAGGAGTTTTACCTTTTTTATAAGGAGTTTGTAAAGGTCTGGATAGGGAAGATAAGAAGATTTGCAAGATATGTAGACATAAAAAGTAAAGAAATTATATATCTCTTTATCTAAAGTCCTTCCAAGACAAAAATAGAGTGGACAATAAACAGGATTTTTTCAGTGACAATAATTGTGATAAATACTCATCTTGCAAACAACACTCACACGTTTTTATAATTTCTTTATTGTAAGAATGAACCTGTAACACAATATACCTGGTCACAAGATTGACCACATCAAGTATGTGACATACTTTTAATAAAATAAGTTTCATAAAATTATAAATTATGAATTATGATATTGTTAATGCAGGCAGAAGAATTTTTTGAGATTGAATGAAGAATGAAGAAATGCCAATCAGAGAGCAATATATGAAATTCAGCTAAATTTCAGCTGAAGTGGACGGACTGCTTGACTAATGACGTGATTCAATCTTTTTTACATATATGAGGTTGTAAAAAAAGTTACAAAAAAGAACTTCAAATGTCAAGAGATAATTCTGTTAAAGTAACAGATTCTTTGATTAAAATGCCCTTGTTCACTATCCACAAGTCGCTGGACTAATTCAAAGATCAAAGTCATTAAACATCTAGTTCTCTGTCAAGCAGCAGTTGGATCCGAATCTTTGACTTCACTGGCTTCCCACTCATTGATTAGTTCTGAGGAAACCTCTGTGAATAATTGGTCCCAGTCCCACGGTTTATCCTCCTGTTGAAAATGAGATGACAGGTATTTTTTAAATACTACAACTCCTACTTATTCAACACTTCCTCCTTCAAAGATATGCCTTTATTAATTTTAAAAAGCTTTATTAAATGAAATCTTTTATTTATTCATTCATTTATTTTGTGAATTTTGTAAATTTGCAAATTAATTCTACTGAAATATTTCACATTATATAGATAGATCCAGTAACAGTTTTCATATCTTGAATAGTCTTACCTCAATGACTTCAGATTCTGCTGATAAAACTTTGGTCAGTAATTTGAGATCAATCTCATTATCCTAGGGAGAAAAAAAACACAATCAAAAAGTCTCTTTTCAACATTCCTGGCTTTTAAGACATAAAAGATAGAGGCTGAATGAACAAGTCAAAACTACAATACCGAACAATTTAGATGAATTCTAATATTTTTAAGCAATTATGAGTAATAAAGTGATTCCATATATCTTATAGGTTCTGGTGCAGGTGCTTTTAATATCTTTCACATTCTAATGCCAATCATAATAAGTTAATCCTTTTTAGAAATCAATATAACAAATTTATATCACACAAATATAAACAAAAACAAAGTCAAAAATCACAAGAAAATCAATACAGCATCTTAAAAGATTAAGACAGCAACCTTGGTCAGTAACTAATCACTTTATTTTGAGGTAGGAAGTGGTATATTTGATAAATGAAATTCCAAATGAGGCAAAACATTTAACAGACATAGAAAACATTCTGTCATAGTCAGGACATAGTGAAGTCACTCGTTTTCTTTCTTTTTTTTTTTTTTTCAGAGTTTTACAGCACAACAGAAAAAAATCAAAACAGTATAAATGAATGACAGGGAATGAAATAAAGCAAAAGGGGGTAGATCATGGAGTCTCCACACAGGGTTGCATCAATGCCTACCATTTTGTAAAACTGAAATTTTCAACAAATGCTGATCAAATATCTGTGAATCTCACACAGTGCATAAGTAAAAAGATATAATATATTTAATTTCTCCAATCTCTGAGAAATCAAGTTAGAAACTGTTTAAAGATATATATATATATATATAAGTACTCAAAAATCTCTGAAATGCAATGCAGATACAAGCTGACTGCCTGTTATGAATGTATAAGTTAAAACATTTCCAAAAATTTAACATATATCATGCGTAAATTTACTTTGACAAAAGATCAATGTTGACATCAGGTTTCACTCAAACATAAAATGGGCAAACAGCCAAGCAGATGTCTAGACAGTAGACTGCTTAATAACATGGGATAAAAAGGGTCTAAGGAGCAATATAGCTTCCTGTGTGATCTTACAGGCAAGTTGTGTCAACTTTGTTATTTTAAGTCTAAGTCAATCCTGATGTGACCACTGCCTTGGTGCCATGATACTTACTAGAGTCTGGAATGCTGCATGTCTGAGAAGGTCATTGTCTAGTTCCCTGTATGTTGCTACTCTGTTCACTTTGCTGAATGGTAGAGAAAATTAACACTAATTTATATAATATCAACATTGCTTTAAGATAAACGTTTTATACAACTGACTTGGGTGGAGGTCTACATCTTCTTTTGCATGTCTCAGAAACATGATATAATTGGTCTTTTGTCAATAGTGAATTTTATCAGACCTCATATTCTCTGATATAAGATCATATTCTATGCTTATTATATAATAATCCATAACATCTATACATGCTGTACTGTAAATCACTGATTTGCAAGCAAATTTTACCACTGGAGAGAGCAACAGACTTAGTGTACCAACAATACCTGAGCTATTTTCAAATATCTTTAAGTATAATTCACTCTAAAAAACCACTTAGGCACATACTTGGGTGCAAGTGCTACTTGTGTGGTGATATCTTCTTCCTGCACATCATCCAGGTCTGGAATCACTGGTATATCTGAAATTATAAGATTTAGTTCAATCAGTATTCAAGGCATGAGTATTTTTACTACAATCAAGACAGGGTGACCTACAGTGCTTTTCAACATGTGTAGATCTAGATGTAGATGTAGAGAGAAATGTCAGACCTTGTCGTTATGATAAAACTTATCAATGTTTTTCATTCAACAGCTAATTGCCATTTTAGTTTCTAAAAATTGAATCTACTCGTCTTTTTACACAGGTTATTTTAGACATATCTTCATTCTGTTTTGTATAAATGTTTTTTTTTTAAGTGTGTTTCAAAAAGTAATCAAAAATTTTCTTAACTCACCATTATCTGAATCTTCTCTTTCAGGACTGTAGCTCTGTCGTAACCTCTCACTGGAATAAAAACAATACTTATAAAGAATATAACAAAGAAGTCAATATAGCTGTTACACTTACTGAAAAATAATTGTTAAAACATCCTTTGAAAGCATTCAGAAAACATTAACTTATTAGCAGGAAAATCAATGGTGAACCAAAGAAAATCAGATTTTCATATCAAAGTGCATATTATTTGGGGAATAAATCATGGAAGTTAACTTATTATGAGAAACAATTAATCTGTCTACTTCTATGCAGAACTTACTCTTCAATAAATTCTTCTTGTATTCCATGCCTTCTGCAATTCATAAGAAAAAAATTGTTTGAATAGAAATGAAATCTATTGCTTCACTGCTGGCTGCAAAAATGGTAGCTGATTAAAGGCACCATTGGGCAGTGAAGTAATCAAATATTTCATTAAAACAAATGATGTGAGAACAGGTTGAATAAGAAACAGTGCAACCCATTCTCCTCAAACATGAAACCACACACACATGCTCACATGTATGCACGCAAGCATACAAACACACACACACACACACACACACACACACAACAACAACAACAACAACAACCCTAAAACAAACATACCAAAAACAATATTCTTGGGTTCCAAAATCATTAAATATCACAATGTATATAAATACATTATAATTTTATACGATTTAACTATAATAATTGCTTATGACAAAGCTGACACAGGAATAGGTAAAATTACAGCGAACAGAAGGAGGGTGGCCTTTATACTCCTTACCTTCCTTTTGGTTGTTTAGAAGGTCCTATATCATCACCCCAACCAGACATTCTGCGTGACGGCTTTGGGGGAGAAGCAGACTCCTATAAACAAGTCAATATAAATTTCCATAGAAATTAACATAGACTTGACACATAAGAAGCAAATATACTTATAAATTCCATATACTGGCAAAGTTCTTCAATATTTTAGAGACCGATATTTGTGTATAGAAAAAAAAAATCAGTTTTTATATGTCAAATTGTAAGGAATCAAACTACTACTGAGCATATTATTATTATTATTATTATTATTATTATTATTATTATTATTATTATTTTTATCTATACTCTTGGCATAAAATGTTCTGAATTTCTGTTAATTACTTTAACTTCTACTGGCAAATATTCCACTATTTAAATTCCTAAGGCTTAGGCTTTAACACAATAAACCCAACTTACATACCTGAAGAGGGACTCCTCCATTCAGATCAGCACTATCATCCATGATATCTGGTGACATAGGAACTTCATCTTTGGGAGGAGTAGCAGGTCTAGCACGCCTGCCTTTTCGTGCGCTACTCTATAATAAATAAAAAGAAAGATTTAACTCTAGAAAGATGTTTCAGGGAAATTGAACAGAAGAATGTTGATCTCGAGAAACTGATCTTTTAATAATCTGAGCAAGATGAGCTTAGATCTATCCTTCCTGCTATTTACATTGCGTATAAAATTACTGAGTTACTGTGCCTGTTGAATATCAAAATACACAAATATGAATGATAGTTAAATGATGATTATTATGAATAATCTCAGACTAAATGATTGCGTGCACTCTTACAATTTCACTCCAACCAAGTACCGCATACTACATCTACTGTATAATAATTCACATAGTAAATAATCGATAAAATTGAGATGACTTAGTAACCCAAGGGTTATACGTAGCATTACAGCATCCTTGGCACATATACGTTACCTTCTTCTTAGATGACAGCCCTACATCGTCTTCGTCCATTTAAACAAACCGCTGAAATATCGAGCGGTTATAACTTGGCCCTCGCAAAATTTTGTTTATTGTTTGGTATGGTATTCAACATGGAAAGTTCCCAGCATTCAATAGTGTAAACTTCCTGTTAATTGTGTTAGATGTGACGCAGTGGATGTGACGTATCATACCCTGATACCTGGGTCAATATATGTATTTTTTTCCAGCACCAAATTATGGATTCTCTGACATGATCTATCAAGTCCATAATTGGGTATATTAAACAACGGGGTACGTACAGTAAAATAAAGATAACATTAACCTTCACATACTTCATACTCAACCGATGATCCTATTAATGCTACAGGAGACACAAAAAAAAAAAATATATATATATATATATATATATACATACACACACCTTGCCCCATTTAAAGGATTTAGTTATTATGTTTATAGTAAAACATTGAAAAACATTTCAAGTTATATATTTTTATTCAGTTACTGCATGCCTTCCAATGATATAATATAATGTACACATTATAGATAAAGAAAGCAAGTTATACTGCTGTATTATTAAACAAAAGGCTAAGTGATATTTTATTAAAATATAATGGATAAAACTTGCCAAATATATCTATCATACTACTACACAATGATAAACTCGTGGAAGTTGGGATTACTGAATTTACAGTAGCAATCCTGTCAGACTGGCAACAGATACAACCTGTTACATTTTGATAATTACTCCTATGTGGTGCCTATTGAACACGATCTTCTGAAATCATCTCTATCTGTGAAACTTGAAATATTTGTAGAGTAGTGAATAGATGTTAACACATGCGTTCCTAACTTAAAAAATCAAAAGATGCGAAAAAAGCTGAAATAAGATCTCTAAGGTCTAAATCTAATTTCTACAAGAATGAAAATAATTTCTGATCAGATTTAAATAGAGCAATTTCTGACAAACTGCTATAATTATGCATTCATACACTTAGTGAAATTGGACATTATAGCTTGAGGTACCTAAATCACTGACTCAACAGCAAGAAACATTCCCTTTAACCCAAATCATTTTCTAAATTAAAGCACATAACCCCTTCCTATTAATTAATCTAAGGCTCACCAGAACTACATTTCAGACTGAAAACTTCAGCCAGTTCAACGACAAACTATATAAATACTACAGAGTAGGGCTTCCTACAAGGAACCTGAAATCTTTCAAATGCTACTCTTACTCAACTCATTTTTTTTACATACACAAATACTCACAAGTTCAACTTTGTAAACTAAAACTAAGAGATTTCACCAAGTATCTAGAGGCTACTTTCTTGGGCTTAAGGGAAACGTGACAGACCATCTTTGTTAACATCAATTCAGCAAAAAATAAATAAGCACTGTATGGCATGAGAATATGCTTAATTACCACCACTGTGTTCTTATAGAAAATTTGTCTCCATAACAAGACTAAGAAAAACATCCCCACAAAGAAGTTTGCATTTCAATGTGCAGCTACTGCAGTTATTGCAAGTATGGTCATGATGTTTTCTTTAAGATGCAATATTCAACTCGCAATTAAAATCTAAAAAAGAAAAAAAAATTTGGGTTTTTGATTGAGAATATTAGTTAAATAAATGTAAGTTCTGTCAGAAATTGGCATTTCACTCTGTTTAAATCAAGTTTAGCATCACCTTCAATCTTTAATTCTGAGTGCACTGAACATTTTGGTCATCTTATACCCTCACAGTTCAGATTTGACCACATGACAGTGCCATCTCAACACAAATTTTCTACTCAATATTTATTTCCACTTTGATACCAGCACCCATGGACATAGGGGAAGTTCAGAAAAATTCTTCAATCAATCACTGAATAAGATTCACAATTTCTCCATTGTTACACATCTCTATCGTTTGACATCACACACCAGCTAGGAGGAGATACTTCAGCTGTTTTTTTGTTTTTTTTACCCAAATCATCAATTCATCTAGGATGTGGCTGTTATCACAGACTTTCATCGCTCTCCACAGCCTGGAGCTGGACATCATCAGTGTCCATTGAGCTGTCCTGGACACCAGAGGCCACTGCTGGGTGACCAACATCAACTGAAAACAATCAAACATAGTACTTCATATCCACAGGTACAGAAACGGTGACTACTTAGGGATCTAACGGATATTTTAAAATCAGGCATACATTTAAGAAGGTTGATCTTGTTCATCAATTATATCAAGTTTTAATATTCCAACTGAATGAAAAGATTTATGTTGTTATAGGTGGAGCAAGAAAACTAAGAATAACTGACAGACACCAAGGTTCATCAGCATCCTTTTGATCCCTGCCCTGTTCCTTAAAAAATAATTCAAACATCCTGGCAAAGGAGGTAGGAGTTGGAAAGTGAGAATAAATCAAGTCTAACTCAAACAAACAGCATCCTTTTCAGAACAAGGTTCTAATCTCTATTTTTTACCTTTAGATATCCTAAAGATACGTACCTGCCTCACTGGTATCTGCCAGTTCCTCCTCCGTCACATATCTCTTGTCTATGGCTTCTTTAATCTGGTTGTTAGCACCCTTGGGGTCCAGGTCCATTGCCCAGGAAAAATTCATTAGGGCCAGGTGGGTATTGCCCAACTTTTTGTGAACCTAGGAAATGATTAAGTATATACACAAATAAAAGACATGCCAACTATGTTATGCTAGACCCACTGTAACATTTGGCAAAAACAAATTTTAATTTGACTTTTAATTTAATAAATATACATATATTTTTTGCAAAATTCATCTTTGAAAATGCTAACTGTAAGCTATAACTTGGCATTTGGTTAAAAGAAACCTTCATACAATGAGCAAAGTTATATGTCAAGTCTTTTTTGTTCCATACTTATACATTGCAACATTTCTAAACAACTATTTGAGTTGATTGGTGTCCTTAGTCCACAAACCAAGTATATTTCCACAACTAACACTGCCATCATTTAAACAAATACAAAATTCTTACCAGTTTAAATATACAGGTTGTCACCACTAGAGATAATTTTTTGTAAAATGTACCATCCAAGCTTCAAGATATCTCAGTCTGATGCAAACAGTAATGCAAATGTTATGCTTTTTTATTAATATTTTTAAAAAATCACCCCAACTACTTACTTTTCCTATAAGAAAGTACACTAAAGATTCTCGAGGTACAATCTGTTTAAGCTCTTCTAATTCAGCTAATGCTTCCTGAAATTGAGACAAAAATATTTTATTCCTATAAAACATAACTGCTTATCCTTGGCCTGGAAAAGAAAAAAGCTCAATTAAAATTTTATTAATATCAAACATATTCAGGTAACATATCAGTCATTACCAAAGCTAACAAGCCAAATCAACCAACAAATCATCTCAATTTTAAACGTTTCAGGGGTTTCAAACTTCATATTGCCCATCTTCACCAAACAATGATTTTAATGAAGCAGGGGAGTAAATGAAACAGTATCACATGCATGAAATATATATATAATCTTCAATATAACCCTTTCTAAAAAATATCCTACTTAAAACACTTCCAACCTACCACAAAAATCAATAAAATTTCTTTCCAGATGGTTAAATCAGTCTTCACATCGACATGGGTTCCCACATTTCTCTTTATTTTCCCAAACTTTTTTCATTTCTAACACATTCAGCTCAGGCAAGCTCAACATGCCAGTAGTGCAATCTTTGGTACATTTCCACCTGTCATCCTCCATATATCCCACCCCCAGGGCAGCCAACCATATCCCCATGGAAACATCCTCTCCCTGGTATGTTTTCAACATGTGACTGTTGCTAGACAACCAATAAACAAGATCTGCTGACACGACACTGCCTGAACCACAGGCAAAGCTAGGGTAAACAGGGGCAGTGTAATCGAGCTCTGCCCACTTCCCAGCCCTCTCTACTATCCAGTCTTCTCTAAAGTTACCCAACCACAGTTTCTCCTGTCCCCTAAACTCCGCCTGATTAAGCTGTCTGTACACACTTTCAATATCTACATAACAGTCATCATCAGTTTTCATGGCAAATCTAAACTGCACATTGTCAGTCATCCATGCCCAGGTGTGTAGTAGCTTGTTTGGAAGGTTACGATAGGTATCTAATACATCCACAAACACAAGGTCGTGGTGCTTCTCTGCTTCCTGAATCAATTGTGCCTCTACAGAACCAAGGTGTGCCTTCCATGTGGCACGCCTCTGATCTCTCTGGGCTACATGTTCCTTCACATTCTCTGGGGTATAGACCTGATAACCCATGGAGACCAGAGACACTGCTGGTCTTCCATACAGATCAAATATTGTAACACTGATTACATTCTGAGCTTTAGGAACACGACTCGTGCCTGGGAAGAAGATATTGTCTTTAATGCCCTCTTCTTCTTGTATTCTTATAATACCTTCAAAATCTTTTGGTAATAGAAAAGGCTCAACATTTCTGTACACATAACCGTCTACTGTACTATAAGAGTGAATCTCTTCATATTGGAATGTAGTGTTGACTACTACTTCTTCAGTGTCAGCACTCAGCAAAGCCACTGAGATTTCCTCTTTCTTGTTGAAAGAATCCTCTAAAATACCAAGTTTGTTCAAGGCAACGGGTACATGAACATGGAATGAAATTTCATGTGCAGATAAAGATTCTCTGGGATTGTGCTGTTCATTAACATTATATGACAGGGCATATTTCTCCTCATCTGTAGCTATTTCCTCAGTTAAATTCATATCTCGACAAGAGAACTGATCCATGCGATCATCAGGATGAACATTACAGTCTTTCTGCCCAACAGAAAATCTGACAAGGACTTCATCTTCAAGGTGTTTTGTGGTCTGAAGCCAAGCTTCCCTGATTGTTTGTCTTTGTAAAAAATTCTCTCTTGCTGACAAAATAACCACAACGAGGTCATAGTGTGGCTTCTCTCTGGTGTCAGTGTGCAGTATGTGATACAATATCAAGCTGAGAATTCCCACTCCAACTGCCAAGCCTATTCTTTTACTAGCCATGTGGATAGATAACAACACAGGAACAGGAAGTTGTGGAGAAGCCAACTGAGCATGTGCGAGCGAGGCATTGTGGGATACGTGAACAAAAGGCCATCTACGGACAAACCATACCAAGTACTTGCCAAACAAATGAATTTCATCCAAAACACATCAATTCCAAGAACATACTTACCCTGTGTTTATCATTAGCAAACAGGATGGATGCTTTGTGGAACTTGCACAGAGGGTTCTTTGGATCTGATGCTATGGCTTTATTCAGTGTAACTAATGCATTGTCTGATTTTTGAAGATGGTGTTGAACCTAGAATTTAGTTATTATGAAAAGTTAAAAGAAAAATCATTTCTATGTTGCAAGGGAGCAATGAAGTGAACCTATAAATAATTTCTTTAAGAATCTTTTAGTATTAACCACTTATTTACCTTATTTCATTCATTCAGAATTCAAACAAAAATATGCATAAGCAGCATAAACCAATTATTTTTTCGCTAATTCCAAAACATAAAATTTGAAATTAAAGAAAATGGCCCTTCTTCGATAAAGATAAGAACTATTTTCTTTTTTTCTTACTCACCACTCCAATATGACATAAAAGAACTGAACTTTGTGGGTTGATGGTTAAAGCTTTCTTGAAGTGAACTTCAGCCAAACCAAACTTCTCCTGCTTATAAAATATCATTCCAACACCATACCTAAAAAAATGTTTTCTTTTTAAATACTTGACTTTCATAAAGCTTCAACATTCATTAGATAGCAATATCACTGAGTTGGTATTTTTCAATTTAGATGATTCTCTTAATAATGAATACTTCAACAAAATCAAAGGGTAAAAACTGTTTTCAAAGTACAAGGCTTCAGAGCATTTGAGACCTCATTTATCAAGTTTTCTTACCAAGAATTATAATGTCTTGGATCTACTCTAATGGCATTCCTGAAGCATGACATGGCCTTGTCAAACTCCTCAGTCAACACGTACTCATGGCCCAGCAGAGTGTAGGCATAAGCAAAGCTGGGTTCCACCTGCAACAAGGAATTCACAGCCCAAATAGCCAAGGATCACTCACATAAGTCACATTTGATAAAAAAATAAATAAAAATAATTCTTTACAAATCTGGACAGGTGTGACTGCCAATGTTGTTTTCAAGAAGCACATCTTTCAATTTATATGTGCACTGCTCCTTTGTGGTAAATAAAACATCGAGAAAATTGCTGTAACTTTAAGTAAACACCAGCCCGACATATAAATCTCTCTCTCAGGAAATGGCTTTTCGTATTTGTATGGGTTATGTGTTATATCAAAATGTCACTCACCTGCACAGCTCTCTGGAAAAATTTGATTGCAGTGTCATGTTCCCGCTGAAGACTAAAACAGTTGCCTGCGGCACACCACGACTGGAAAAAAAGCAATCATCAAATAGTTTATACCCTCATTTCATATTATACTACTAAATGCATCAGCATAAAGACCTTAGAGACTCCATGTGGAAAATGGCCTTGTTTTGTTAAATGTGAAAAGATTAAGTCTACCACCTAAAGATCTGCTCGACTTGTTAATGGAAATAGTTATAAGTTTTTGTAAACATTGAGATTATCAGCCTAGAAAATTGCTCAATCTTATTTTCAAAGGGTGTTTTCAAATAGCGATGAAACAAATCCTTAAATGAAATGGTGTAACTAAAAGATAAACTTTTCACACATTTAACAACAACCGAGTTTCAGTTTAAGCTACACATATCATAATTTACCTAAGAGAAATTTCACTATCTTCAACAAATATGTCATTAATTGGTTTAGAAACTCTTATTTCGCTAAAATAATGAAACCACATGCCTTGACTGAACCTTCATTTAGCCCAGGCACTTTACTTAAGTTACCTGTGGTGCTTCTTTATCTAATTCTGTAAGTTCCTGAGCTAGCTTGGACAGCTGGACATCTTTCTGGAGGTGCCACAAGGTGGTGCTGTAAATTTCTAGTCCGTGGAAGTAATGTGGGGCTACTCTTCTCATGGTTTCAAACATCTTCTCTGCCTGATTAAAAAATTCAAAATCATTTTAAAAATGGATTCAAACTGAGTAATCATTTCAATTTTACATCTAAGAGAATCACTTCAAGTTAAAAATCAGTGTTTGTTATGCCTTATGTGACTGTATGTCACAGAAAAAACTCTTATGCACAGTTTTTTTTTTTTTTACACTTTGGTCCAACCCTAAACATACTGACTTGATTGAAAAAGGTCAAATATCTTATATTTAATACTTTTCTAATTATTTATTTACCTACTTTCTCACTATCATTATTAGTCTTTTATTATAATTTTATTTCTTCATTATTTAAAACTTTTTTCCAGGTAAGTCATTGGTTTAGTCCAAAATATTGATTTGGACATAAGGTCTAGATATTTGAATAAAATATTGTTACATGATCGTAGTGCCTACTGCCATACCTTTTGATATTCCGCCATTTCAAAATGCGCCCTGCCTATCTGCGCCATGACCCACCCAGTCTGATGCTGATGTGCAGGGAGAGAGCCAAACAACTCCAGCGCCCTCTGGCAGTCATATTGTGCTAATGCTAGATATGCTTTACCTAACTCTTGGAGCAGCGACATTAGACCATCTAATAAAAGAGAAGCATCAGGTACTTTTATAGTCGTGTTTTGAAAAAAGTTTTTCTGCCTAATGCAAAGAGTTACAAATACATCATCAATTCTAAATGCAAAATTTTAATCATAATAAACATCATATTTCTTCTTGATAATGAGTAATTTTGAACTTATTCAATATATCAATCCAATGGAACATCATTTTAATAACATTGCATAATTTACTGATTTATTTTCTACATTTACCTGTAGATTGTTTCTGCTGAGACTGTAAAGTGAGTGTAGCAGATTTTTGGATTTCACAGTCCTGCTTATTTTCTGATTTGTTAATCTCGTTCATTTCTTGAGTTTTTGTAGTTCTTGTTTTTGATCTTCTAGCTGGGCCTTTCGGACTAGTGAATTTTCCTCTGCCTTGACTTTTATTATTTTCCTTAGTTGAAATACAAATATGATAAATGTCATATATCAAAATAATAATAATAATAATATGCACTGCATTTTCTGGTCTCTAAGTAAAAGGAATCTTTCATCAGTAAAAATTGTTAAGTAGTACTAAATTTAGAAAATGCTACTTTTTAAAAAGATAATTTGAACAAGAGCACTCACCTTCACAGAATTTGAATTAGAATTAGTAAACAACCTTGAGCTTCTTCTTAGATGTGGCACATTTTGAGAGGTATTTTGAGGTCTGAAATATGAAGTTTTCACAAATGCTGATAGAATATAATCTACTTTGATAGTAGAGAAATGGAAATTAGCATCTAACTATCTGAAACATTTGATGATGTTAAATCAATTCAACTGTAATTTGACGAAAGCAAAAAACAAATGCACTAGAGGGAAAGAAACTGGATAAAGATCATTCTAAGCAATAATAAAATATGATAATGTTTCAGTAATTTACACTTTAACTTGGCACTGATACCACAAACTGCAGTAAAGTAAAAGGTTACCCTGACTGTGGACTGGGAGTCTGGGCATTGGTATTGCATGTTACCGACTGACTAAACACTGGTGGACGATTAGGTTCTGCTTGACTCCTAAGTGCTCCAGTCTGTGACAAAAAAATGAAATACTCAGAATAAATCCTTCATACAAATAATCCTCATGATAAATGCGTATAATTTTTTCCAATAATAACCCCTTTTTTCTTTCAACTTTTCGTATTTCACCTGCAAACAAACAACAGTTACTAGTCCAAGAAAAAAAAACATTTGCCAATTTTCTTCCAATCCCGTTTTTCAAAAATTATTTTGATACTAAGTTCACAAACCACACGTTGTTGAATTCTGCTACATCAATATGTTGTTCATCTCTACTATTATCTAGACTAATAACTATCGGGTCTCACTTTTTTGGCAGGTGCTCTCAAATCAAATCCCTGAGAATCCAAGTTGGGCTGTGGTAGTGGTGTGATGAAGGGGGAGGTACTGATGGAGAGCCCGGCAGGACTGGGAGTATCCAACGGTAGTACTCCAAAACTGAAAATTATAATTTCAACTATAATAATTAAGAATCAATTATAACAGGTTCTACTTTTTTTCAGTGTTGACTACTGTGAACTGGTTTAAGAGGTAAGATGAAAATTTGTTGTATGACAAATGTTTTGATCAAATCTTGCTGATGTTGGCTAAGAAAATTCAAATGCTCTTATTCCATGCTATTTACTAGTCTGTGTTTGGTTCTTTTAGAGCTTCAAATAAAATAATTACAATACAAGGTTACATTATGTATTTTCTAGTCTTCATGTTTTGTAATTTATAGCAATCACATTAATAAAATGAATAATAAAGCTGATATATCAATGGCCTACCTAGGTGTAAGTGGGCTTATTGAAGCAGCCGCCCCTAGGATACTTCTCCCTGCCCTGGGCCGCGTTCTCATGCCCTTGGCAGTAATGGGGGCAGCAGGGGCAGACACCAGGCCTCCCAACCCTGGGGGATCTGGGGTGGAGAAATTTTCATCCAAACCACCGACATTTTCAGGAACATCATTCAGCAGCTGAAATGCCGTGTCCTGTATCAACATTAAAATACTTATATCAAAACTTCAATTTATATACTCTTTCAGACACGACTTTGTAGTGTAAAAAAAAAAAATAGTAAGAAAGGGCTTGGTGCCTTACGACCAGGGGTCTGGGGGCGATTCAAGATTAGAAAAGTGCCAAGAAAAAAAAAACAGATTCGAAAAAAAATTATGAAAGAAAGTCATATAGATATATATATATATTATACTTATTACACTGTATATCTGTATGTCTATCAATACTTTTATCGACTGAATTCGCATCCTTCTTTAAAAACCAAGCTATCATTGACTAAAATTCTTATGATAACTCTACTGATGTACATACACGTGGTACTGGAGCTGGAGTTTGTTGTTCCTGAGGATGTGGACAGTGCTGACCCTGTTGTTGTTGCTGTGGTGTGGAGATGACCACTACAGGGTGGGAGTAGTTATAAATGTTGTGAGCCACTACTGTGTTGCTACTGGAAACTTTGAAAACCCTGGATGCATCTGGTTTTTCTCCTGAATTGGCATAAAATTTTAATTGACCATCTCATTTGCATCTTTTTGTTTAAACTAGTTTATCTTAGAGGTAGAACAAGAAGACGTTTTCCGCCAAAAATATTTAGCTGTATATTTTCCAGAAGAAGTTAAATAAGTGCTCTACAGAACTATCATATTTACTTTAAACATGAAAATTCACTTAGTGATCTAAATAAATAAAGAGTATAACTATGCAACAACTATTTTTTAATTTTCCACTCACCTAAATGACACAGTTTTTCAAAAGATGACCACATGAAAGGATTTAACTTTAAACTCTTTTGATAATAATCAGCTGCCTTGCCTTGGCGATCTGTTTTGCTATAACAAAAAGAAACAAATAATACGTAACATTCATTTCATAACACTTTGATGTCAAAGAATATATAAATTGGCCCATATGTGAATTTTAAACCTGCAAAAGTTGCACAACAGTTTTGGCAATCCTTTTTTAATGTTACTTCTGTTAAGGTTGCCTGTGGTACCAAAACAACTGTTTTGTCAAGTTACGAAATCCTACCTGTAAATCTGAGCAAGCAGGGCTAACGCATAGCTAGCAGCATCTCCAAATTCAGCAATATATTCATCAGGAGTTTTACTTTTCATCAGAATACTACCCCCCAAAGTCATCTCTGCCTCAGACAACCTGTAAAATATGTACTAGTAAGTAATCAAATAAAACCCTTCGTATATCATACTGTCCTGCAAGATTGATTTATATATAAAACATTTATATTTAAAACACTGAACAAAAATCATTACTACTACGTGAATTTAAGTGGTCTAGATTAAAGCTGTTGAAATGATATGAATTCAACCATCTGTCAAGCCATTAAAAACAAAACAAGTAAATAAACATCACATAAAATACATTACACTTACATATAGTCAATTAAAAGAAAATGTTATGAATAAAAGATAAAAAAATGTCCAAGCTTACTTGTTTAGATCCAGGCAGCATCTTGCCATAAGATATTTACACTGGGGAGTGGGGCATCCAGTGCTTTTTAATAAAGTATAAGCCCTGATAGGTTTACCACATCTATAGTAACATGTAGCCAGGAGAAAGAGGGCTTCATCGCTGTTTACTAAACCACAACAAAGAAAACAATGTCAATTTACAGACTTTTTCCAAGTACAGCTTTAAATCATTTTGTCAATATTGTAAAACAATGCATCAGTCATTCAGATTAACACAAAGTTATGATGGCTTATCCAGAACTAAAACTTTCTTATTGCACACAAATTCATTTCAGTGGACACTTTTGATGAAACTCAGCTCATGTCAACATGTGTTGACTGAAGATGCTTTCATTTACCACCTGTAAATCACTTTACCTTCTGCATATAATCTCTCTGCTAAAAATATAGCATCATGGTAGTCGTAATGGTTCAATGCATGCCAAACAGCTGCCTGAAAAGTAACAGCAATATATCCACTCAGTTTACATGACATCCATCCAATTGCATTTTTACTAGTTGCATTCCAAAAGAAATAAGAAAAGATAATACTAACATCTTCCTGAAAAAATCTCCAAAATGCCAAGTTACTTTTGATTGTGCTATCTTTACAACATTCAAGTTTTGTTTGATTTCAAACAGAAAAATTGTGAGGCTTATAATTAGGGTAATATAGGGCCAAATGAATGATTTCTATACAGTTTTTGAAATGAATGGATTTAAGTAAATCTGACATTGGTCTCCAGAAAAAGTATCAAAACCCTTTACATCCATGTCTTAAAGATGAGTTTCACACATCTCTTCAGTTCTCATTTTATTATCAATTATATTAATGCCTGCCATCAATAACTGACTAGCTTTATTTTAAGTAAATATAAACCTACCCATCTCTTCAAGTTAACAACTACTTCTCAAAGTTAGCATTAATATATACTGTATAAACAACGTATCTCAGACAGTATTCGTTGCAAGGAGAGCATATTGCTTTTCCTCGGCTCGGTTACCTATCACATGCTGTAATTAACTGGGCTGTTTGTGTCACGTCAGTGTCCGTCCCTTATTAATCACGGTGCCAATAGAAGTTGCGGAATGTCATTATTTTTATACCGATGGAGGGCATTCCGATCCACCGATTCAAAACTCGAATACGTATGAATTTATATGGTTCATGACCGTTACTCTGTAGACTCCGCAGTTCGAAAAGTTGCTACACTTATGTTATGATTCAGATCAGCTGAGAGAATGTTCCAGGAAATTTGACAAGACGGATCAAGTTCAATTATAAACTTTACTGTGAGGGATCATATAAAAAATAACCCACCTGTACAGGCTCCAGAACAACCATGGTTCGCTGTGTATCCGCTCAATTATATAATATCCCCTTTTGAGTCCTGTACCAGCAGTTAATTCAGGTACAAGTTTACTTTCTTGCAACGGCCATTGTAGATAAATGTCGTATAGGCTAATGCAAGATACAAATTTGCAAAATGACCTTCACCCTGGGGTACTTAAAACGCCCATTTGAAATATAATTCGATATATTTTCCAAATTGCTTGGCAGTCTAAAAGCAAATACATACTACATGTAAGCTCTGATTTCAAGTTATAAGTATTAAGTACAATTTAAAATAATTTCAAGAAATTATCGGTACAGTGCACAGGAGCCCTGACCAACGCGCGGCTACTGCTATCGGCAACTTTCCACATGTGAAGTTCCGTCTGGTACGTTTGATCGTGAAAAGATAACTGAGAAAATGCCGACAGTGGCACTTGAGCGGGACCTACTTTATGAGAGGTTGGGGCAAAGCTACAGTAAGTATTGTGAAAATGTCTGGTTGCCAATAGGCTATGAGAAGTCAATTACGTGTTCAACCCTTGTACGATCACTCGATCAGCAGTCATTTTCATATGACCACTACCTGTACACGGCATTAGACTGTAAACTATTAGAATAGCCACGCTGTGGAGTAATTTCCATTTAACAGATTTTTATCTTATTATATTCAATATGCTATTATTCTGTATATATAAATATATTTTTTTCCAACACACTTTGTTGTATTGATGGCTGCTGTCAATTAATTCCACTTCAATTTGATCAATTTAGGGGCAAGCGGAGGCATTACCTCAATATTGCATCATTTATCAGAATTTGTCAACTATCGCATAGAAATAACTTAACGTTTTATTTTTCAGCTGAAGAAGAATTTGATGAGCTATGTTTTGAGTTTGGTCTTGAGCTGGATGAAGTGGTAATCTTTTTTCCTCAATTGACATTGATATATTTACACACCTTTATTTATTAATTATTTATTATTTGCTAATTTGGTATTTGGTTATTTACCTATTTATCCAGAAAGTGTCACTTTTCAAATGTCACTTACAAAGTTATCTCAATTTATCAGCCTCACTATCAAGATATTCTCGTAGCCTAAAGACTACATGTTTGAATAGGAATGAAAGAAAAAGTAAATTTAACACAAAGAATGAAAGAAAATGTTTTTGTTTATTGGTAAATAAAATGTATTTTTCTGTTATTTTAAGACATCAGAGAATGCACTGATAGCTAAAGAACAGGGAGCTGACAAAGCTGGCACTGGATCAGACAAAGTGATCTATAAAATTGAAATTCCTGCAAATAGGCAAGTGTTATTATGATTATTATTACTATTATTATTATTGTACCACCANCTTTGACCTACCTTGCGATGAACTTAACTTTGATTGTACCATTTTTAGTAATATATATATTTTTTGCATATTTTGAAAATTCTTGTTGATTGCATTTTTACAGCTTGTCAAGCACAAGACTGGTGGCTGTGTTCCTTATTTTGTATATGTGGGGGTCTATATGAATGCGCTTGCTCCAGCTGGTGGTACAATATTCGGAGGCGGTATCGCCTCTCTGATCCTCTAGTTATTATTATATTTTCAAGAATAGCAAAAGTTGTTCTTACCTGTAAAACTAAAAATCATTGACTAATTTGACTCGGGCACTTGGTAGTAGCTTTTAAAAAAGTACGAAAAAGCTAGTATTTTAGACCTGTAAGAACAATTATTTCACTTTATTGTGCGTGTGTGTGAGTGAGTGAGAGAGAGAGAGAAAGTAACTGGACCCAGATGTAAATATAGTATTATTGGAATTAAATGTTGATAAGAATTGGTTAACAATGGCATGGGTACAAGAACAATAATCAGTATAAAACATTAATGGAATTCAACATTGTGCAAACTTAAGAACAGTCAGTAACATTACTTTTTTTTTTTTTTTTGACAGTTAATTAATTTTAAATCCAAAAAGCTGTTAGGCAGTTGAAGTCTCTGTGTTCAGCATATTATTACATATATTTGTAAATGTATAAGTTTGGAATTGCTTTATAACTTTAATGTCTTTTTTTTTTCACTCAGATATGACTTGCTCTGTGTTGAAGGACTCGTCAGGGGTTTACTTGTTTTTAAAGAAAAGTAAGTACAATTGTGAGGAATATAAGAGAAAATGTTTTAAGGTGTGACTTACATGTGCATACTTTTGAACTATTTACAAAAATTAGTTGTAAAGTAATGTGTTTGATCCTATATCATTTTTGCAAAATTAATTGATCTTACTGAATACCAAGTCTACAATTGCTCAAATCTGTCAAATGCAATGTACATTCCCTGCCTTTATTTCAGAATGGCTTGCCCAGTGTACAAAAAGATCCCTCCAACAGAGGGCAGCACTATGCAGGAGCTGACAATCAGACCTAGTGTATGTTGAAGCTATATACATAGAACCTTTATGTGTTTAGAAGGTATTCTGAAATATACAGGTATCTTGACCAGGGTGATAGTGTTGAAAATAACATTGTAAAATTTTAAAACAACATATTCCGGCAACATCTTCAAGCAACAAACAATTCACTTAAGACCAACATAAGTGTGATATTCTTTTAATTTCTGTTTTAGACAGCTGCTATAAGACCACACTGCGTTGCAGCAGTTCTTAGAAATATCACTTTTACTGAGGTGGGTCTGAAATACATTTAAGAAAGTTTCTACTAAGTTACCAAAAAGATTAAAAGGGAAAACATTTATAAAAGAAGAAATGCATAAAGATTATACTTAGAGATAAGATTTAAATTTAGTGTACTTTTTGAGTTAAAGATTGTTTAAGATTAAGTTCATGAACATTTACTTATTATATTTTCATGGTTTATTCAAGTAATTAATTGAAGATAATTACAATTTTTATTATGATCCTATTTGTGAAGTATTTGAAGTTTATACTGTTGGCATGACATTTAAGTATTTTAATATAATTATCTAAAAAAGAAATTGTTAATAAGCACAAGACATGAATAATGAAGGAATACATGTAAATGTCTTTTAAATAATTATTTCAGGCCAGTTATAAAAATTTCATAGATCTTCAAGATAAATTACATCAAAATATATGCAGGTATGTGGGTTGTAATTTCACTGTGTACAAACTTTTCAATTTTACTTAAAAGTCAGCAAAATAAAATCAAAAGTGATAAATGTTGAGATTTCTGTAGGTAATTTTGCTGCATATGTTTGTGACCATAATCAGTACATCATTAGTTGTGAATATGCACATCGAATAGCTTAATTTGTAAACAGTTAATGCATTGCAATTTTTTCTTTTTTTAGAAAAAGATCATTAGTGGCTATAGGAACTCATGACCTGGACACAATAGAGGGCCCTTTTGTATATGATGCTCTACCTCCTGAAGACATCAAGTTCAAGCCTCTCAATCAGACGAAGGAGTATACTGCAGTAGAACTCATGGAGCTTTATTCAGTGAGTAGATTCACTGTCCTAAATATCCCCCAAAAGATTCAAATATTCAGGATGCTTTTTAAGTGGTCCCTTACTGTGCACTTTGCATTTTCTTTGTAGTTTACCATGGTAACATATTTTGTATCGTTTATTAAAATAACTTGTGTTGTCAGTGATATCATAGAATTTTTTTATTGAATTTTTTTTCATTGGATTATTTTAACATTTGAATTTTTTAACATTGGATTATTTTGCAGTTTGAGTTAGCTATGATTAGTTAACTTACAGACAGTAACTGGAGTAATTTTTAATTTCAGACAGACAGCCATCTAAAGCACTATCTGCATATCATTAAAGATAGCCCTGTCTACCCAGTCATTTTTGACAAAAACAATGTAGTTTTATCTATGCCGCCAATAATAAATGGTATGTTAGATATTGATTTGAGAATTCTCAAAATAGTCAGGTTGAAAACTTTGATGTGTTATTACATCATAAGTATACAAATGGGAGTTTGAAAGGAAAATGTTTTAAATTGATATTCATAGCTCCTATAAAGAGTATTTTCTCAAAGATTGTGATAATAATTATTATTTTGTGTGTGTGTGTGTATATATTTAAATACTTAATTTTTTTACAAAATTGTTAATTTATTTAATAACAATAATGACAATAATAATAATTAACTTTATTTAAAGAGGTAAAACATGTTAAGTGTATACACTAAGTATTAAATTATTTACTTCTTTGTTAAGGTGAGCATTCAAAGATTACACTGTCCACTAAGAATGTGTTCATAGAGTGTACAGCCACTGACCTGACCAAGGCCAAGGTCGTCCTGGACACGATAGTGACCATGTTCAGTGAATACTGCCAGGATCAGTTCACGTAAGTGGGTTCTGTGGTATTCTTTGTAAGTTTCAGATAAGGAAAGCATATAGTAGAGATTGTGTATTTTAATCTTGTGGTAAATGTTGCAAGAATCAGTTTACGAAAAGTAAGATAAGGATGTTTTTTTGCAGATTTTTTTCTAAAGATGTAGAGGTTATTCTCTGTAAAGTTTTTAGAGAGTATGTATTAAATATTCAATATGTACTGTGAGGACCAGTTGATGTGGGTTGGTTCTAGATAATATGTACACATATTTTCACAAGTCTTGAAGGTTACTGAACTCTCAAACTTTTTCAGAAATTATGTGTTATCAGTTTTAAGTGTGTTCATTAATGACTGAGTGGTGGGCAAAATCATCTGAAGAATAATTAATTTGGAGGAAATTACTTTAATATGGAAGATTTAAAGTGTAAGTGTTTGTGTAAGAATATGCACAATTTTTATTATTCAGGGTTGAGCCAGCCAAAGTAATCCAAACAGATGGAAGTGAAGTCGTGTATCCTGTGAGTAAAATATAAAAAAGGTGTTCAAAGTCATAAGGAAGGAAGAATTTTCGCAATTTTTTTTAGTCACAGTAAATGAAATCTCTGAAGTTACAGATAAAGATATCAAGCATTTCTGTAGTGTCTTTTGTAAGTTTAAAGCAATATGCAAATGGAATTTTTAGTCTAGTTTGATTTCAATACATATTTCATTTCACATCTTCATGTGCAATAAACCATGAAAATGTAGCATGAAGTCACCATTGTACGCTTGCTTCTGTTTTTTAAGTATTTTGTAACTTTTCTTTCAGGATCTGAATTACAGACATGAGGTTGTGGAGGTGGCAGATATTAACAAGAAATTGGGAATAAAGTGAGTTGTGTTCCCTGTCCATACATGTTGATTTTCTATTGCTGGTAGAAAAAACTTATCAGATATATAAGTTCCTTTTTTATATAAAATATTATTTTACTGATTTTCCAAAATGGAAAATCTTAATAATAAAATGCATTATCACAGATTTAAGAAATCCATAAAGATAACATTTTTGACACTGGAAACATTGTTTAACTCCCTGCACTTTTTCTTTTCAAAAAGTCTATACTTATCTTTTGACATACGTTAATATTGATGGTTGTATTTTGATTATTCCTGCTATCCTCCCCAGAATCAAGGCAGATGCCATGGCCAGTCTGTTGACCAGAATGTGCCTCAAGTCCAAAGCCATTGAGAAAGGAGCCCGCCTCATAGTGGAGATCCCACCCACCAGAGCAGATATCCTTTGGATTCAAATCTTTTGAAAATTCAAGATTTTTCATATTAAAAAAATCATATTTATTTACTTATTTGTTTATTTATTTATTTATTTTTGTTTTCTCCATCATACACTGGATTAAATTCAGTTATTCCTTACTTAATCACAGATTAATTTACGAAAATTGATACATTGATTTATTGAAAAAAAGGGTCCTTTTCTAAGGACAGCATATTGTTTTAAGGAACTTTTTTTAACTACACTAACATTTTTATCCTTAACCTATTTCCACATGTCATACATGCCTGTGATATTGTGGAGGATGTGGCTATAGCTTACGGGTATAACAATATTAAGATGACTATTCCAAAAACCAACTGTATTAGTCAACAGGTAATTATGTTCTTTTTATCATTTAATAAGATCCTAAGATTTTCTTTAAAAGAATGTTTTTAATGGTAAGTGTAAGTTTTGTCTGTACCCGAGGATTTTTTTTTTTTTTTTTTTTTTTTTTTTTTTTTTTTTTTAAATAGGGTTTTTTTTTAAAAAAATTGTGGTTTTTTTTTCATTTCCCGTTTAAAAAACTGAGGGTTTTTTTACGACAAAAAATTGCGGCGGGGGGGTTCCCTGGGNTAATTATGTTCTTTTTATCATTTAATAAGGTCCTAAGATTTTCTTTAAAAGAATGTTTTTAATGGTAAGTGTAAGTTTTGTCTGTACCTGAGGATTTTTTTTTTTAATAGAGTCATTATTTAACAAAATGATGGTTTTTCTTTCAGTTCCCGTTGAACAAACTGACGGATTTATTACGACCAGAAATTGCGGCTGCAGGGTTCACTGAGGCACTGACCTTTTCATTGGTAAGAACTGGACTTTCAAAAATAAAACTGCGCTGATACCAAAATCTGTTTAAGTGAAGAAGTTAAGTCCTTCTCTGCTTATGTTTTTAAAATGAAAATCAAAGTGTGTCTGTAACACTTCACAAAAGGGAGTGTGCAATTCATAAAATCCATGTCAAAAATAGTAATAAGTAAAATTTTCAAATGAATGAAGTTTTTTTCACTAATTAAATTCGATCAACTTTGTTAGATTTAACAGAATTTTTTTCCTTTATTTCAGTGCTCAAAGGATGACATATCAGACAGGTTACGGAAGGACATCTCTACAATAAGAGCTGCTCACATTGCCAACCCTAAAACTTTAGACTTTCAGGTAATGAGATTTTTAAGTATTTCGAATGCTAATCAAGACATTTAATAATTCAACTTTAGGAATGTTTATTTCTGTGGTAGATTTAATGCATATGATGGTCTAACGCTAACCATATAAAAGATGTTTGCTGTTTACTTGTAGGTTGCCAGAACAATGTTACTGCCTGGGATTTTGAGGACGGTGGCCTCCAACAGGAAAATGCCGCTACCCCTCAAGTTGTTTGAGATTTCAGATGTTGTTTTCAAAGATGACACTACAGGTAAAATAAATTACAAGCATCAGGAAGGCTATCAAAATTTTGCAGTGCAGTGCCTGAAAGTAATATTTCTATCATTTTGTTTTTACTGTTCAATGTTAATGGCACATTTAAAATCTGTATTTATCTGATGCTGTTCAGAATTTCCTTTTGCGAAAATCTTTAAACAGAAATAAACTCAGGATTCTTAGATCCCAAGTTCATTTATTAGTTTTTTTTATTTACTGTGACCATGTAGATAAACCCTTTTTGTTGCTGTTCTAAATATCTAACATGAAACAAGGTTGATACTGGCTCCTGCAGAAAAGAAAATTTTTGCAAAAACTTGCATAAAAATATAAAACTATATCTGATGAAAATCTTATAGATTCTTAAAATCTGTTTTATTGGAAAGTCTTTCAAATATAGTTGGATTTTTGACTTAGATGTTATTATTATGATCATTATTGTTATTTTGTTCTAAGACACCGGAACTCGCAACAGACGTCACTTCTGTGCCATTCATTACAACAAGTTCCCTGGGTTTGAGATCATCCAAGGGCTGCTGGACCGTACAATGCAGCTACTGGAAGTTCCTCCTGGCAAAGGGGACACACAGTACTACATCAGAGCCGCAGACGGTATGAAAGTTTGAATTTAAAGAGATAGAATTGTACAACGGCATGTTTTTGATACGAGGAAGAATTTGTTTTGAGTCCTGAATTTTTTTTATTTTCATCTCTATTGTTACTTTTAAAACCCTTAAACCCTTGTTCTTTCATGGTATGATAATTTGATAAAAAAAAAAGTGCATAACAACTTACATTGTAAGAAGATAAAAAAAAATGTTAAACTGTGGCTTTCTGTTGACTCCTGTCTGATACTAGCACCTATTTTCAGATCCAACCTTCTTCCCTGGTCGCTGTGCAGAGGTGATTGCTCTAGGAAGGTGTGTGGGGGTCCTGGGGGTCCTCCATCCTGAAGTCATTGCCAAATTTGACCTCAACATGCCCTGTGCTGCCATGGAGATTGATCTGGAAGCTTTCCTTTAATTTAGAATATTGTTGCAATAAGGCTTTCATCCCAGAACTATGAACTGGAAGCTTTCCTTTTAGTTGAAACTCTGTTGCAATAAGGCTCTGGGAACTTTGTCAAATGAACCAGATACTTTCAAATATTCACGATTATCACTGAATGAGCTGGAAATCATTGTCTGTAATGTCTCAATATACAAACCAAGTATAGAAATATTTGGATTAAAAAAAAAGAGAGATATCATCTGAAATCACCATTGCTGTGTGAAGTTTTTTCTTCTTTGTACTTTCAATATTGTGACTTGATATTCTTTAATATAAATTAATATGATATGTCGCTTATGTATTCCATTAAGTTGACTGGCGATCACCCGCTTGTTTAAGTTCTGGTGATGACGTATCTAACTCTATGGCAGTATTGGTTTCTCGGAGAGAGAACAGTTAATGTCACACCCACACACAAACATTGGATATACGGTAGGAAAGGAGTTCAAATACATTGTAATGAAAGTGGTGCGTTGCGACTCCGCATAAGAGGACTATGTAGATAATTAAGATGATGAAATCATGTCTTTGAATCGTTTCAAAATTGTATTATTAAAGACGAAAATATAACATGTAGGTCGTTTTGAATTTCTACTTCAAAGAAAAATCGGAAAACTTATTTTCTGGTTCGCTCTGAGCCAGAAGCTTGGACCTGAGCGACCAAGGATCACAATGCACTAATTGTTCTAAATCTCCAGTAAAAGACACGAAATTGTGATAGCGGAGAAGCTACTAAAACTTTATTTCCCCCCTCAAGTTGCGCTATTCTTGAATCAGTTGTAATTCTAGAGGCCAAGGGTGGAGTTCACGCTGATTGTAGAAGTTNGTTCGCTCTGAGCCAGAAGCTTGGATCTGAGCGACCAAGGATCACAATGCACTAATTGTTCTAAATCTCCAGTAAAAGACACGAAATTGTGATAGCGGAGAAGCTACTAAAACTTTCTTTCCCCCCTCAAGTTGCGCTATTCTTGAATCAGTTGTGATTCTAGAGGCCAAGGGTGGAGTTCACGCTGATTGTAGTTTTCACTTTTCCCGATCTTACCTGACTCCTTAAAGTTTTGAAGCCGATCGCAAAAATTGTACACCTTCCAAGCTTTTATCTCATGTTGCTGGTAAGAGACTTGTAACGTAAAAATCGTTTAGTTTTGGTTGTGATCACATGAAATGTTTTCTTAATTCTGCAGAATGATTTTGCCATGAAATGGAGAAGAAATATAAAGAATTTATTTCATTCCTTAACTGACTATATCACATCTAAAATGATCGTAATTGGTTTCCTCGACAAATTAAGGTTCGCTGTTGGTGTTAAGTCCCCCCTCCTTAAGAAAACATGATTTGAACACATCATTTATTTACTTTCCATTTATTAAAAAAAGATATGCATCACTTCTTTGTCGCTCCCCATTTCTGAAGAAATCTGATTCTTGATGGGCCTTTTCAAGACCACTCAATGAGAGAAATAGCAGGATTGTTATTTTATAGTGTTTTCGCCCTGGCACGAACCCTTGTGCGTCTCAGCGGACAGCAACCTCGCATCCTTTTGTGATTTCTGTAACATAATACCAACTAGTGTAATGAGCGATGGGAACATTAGTAGTTAGGTTACGAACCCATTAGATGGGTTGTAATAGCCATTGACCATTTGATCTCCCCCACTGTCCCGTCATTATCAAGAATTCATCACCAACAATATGTGTTGAAGTCTTGGCGTGCCCCCGCTACCTTCCGTTAAAACACCAGACCCTCTACGTTGTGGTAAGTTTATATATTTATTTCATTGCAAATATTAATTAAACACCATGGAATCAAATTTTGTCGATGGCCATAATGGGAGAACACTGCATCTATGACTTTTTTCTTGCCTGTAGGAACTGGATCCCTATGTAAACCATTATTTTTACAAACCAACCAACAAAAAGAGCTAATATAAGGTGTGCGTGTGCGCTAAGAATAAGTAAGTGGTCAGTATCATGGGTTATGTGCAGGCATAATGCCGTAGACAAAAAGGCAGATACGAAATTATATGCCGTTTATTACTTAAAAGCCATACCTAGATATCTATTCACAATCGTTTTGCTCGATTGCAATAAATAAATGAAAAAAGACAATGAGTAACATTTCTAAGTGAGGAAATACTTTGTAAAAACGCAGTGACACAAGAACGTTTTCTGAAACACAATGTGTGCTGCGGGCCGTAAAGATGTTACCATACCGCAAAGCAGACACAGGTTAAAACCATAATGTCTATAACTGATATGTTCTGCTGATTTCTGAAATTATTCATGTGACACGTTTTCGTTTTCATATCGCGTGAATTGGGCCTACTGATCAACGACATCATGATTTTTCCGAGCGCCATTTGCACGTCAGTGAATTAATAAATTGCGGGCATTGTGATTAGGGACTGGTTAGGTCCATGTTCGAGTCTAGGCACTGGTCATACGAGGCGAATTTACCGCTCAAGGCTGCCGTGGAACCAGCAGGCCTCTGGTGCATGTTATATGTGTACACATCTATATTTATATTTATATATGCATATATATAGTCTGCGTCCGGTCTAGCTTTCCGTCGGCATAACCTCTTCAAAGGGAAATGTGAATAGTGAACTGGTAGTTTGTCTCTCTGGTGCCACTTGCGTTGGTCAACCCGATGTGTGGAGTTACATTTTTAGCACACTTGGTCGGACACTGTGGACACTGAGTTGTGCGACATGCTGCGTAAATTTGTGTCGCCACTTCCTGTGAGCGCGCACAACTACAAGGGAGATTTTTACTATATCAGCGTCTACAGACGTTAGGTAGGTTTATTTTTAAACAGCGTTAAGCGTTGCATTTCCTCAGACCTCTTCTTTAATTCGAATTACATATATTTTTTTCTTCTTCCCTCTTATACATTGTCTTCACCTGCATAACACGTGAAAAAGTGGATTTAAAAAATTGAGCATTTTTAAGCTATTTTTAGGACAATCGATGCGTAACAGTAATTAAGATGCTACGCACCACTTACACTAGCTTAGTTCTTTTTTACTATCCTGGATATTGAGGGCCATCGATCCTGTGGCTAACCGCTGCAGTTATCGTCCGGCCAAATGGTATTTTTGAGGAGTTGTTATTTTTTTCTATCTGGGTGTAAATGTTTAAACGTGTGCATGCGGGTGTACAAAACAATCAGTCGTCGTGCTGATAGGTTATTTTAAAACCCTGATAGATCTGCACTGTCCTCAAATGAGATTAAAATGAAACGACTAAAAGAATAACTTAAAATCAGAGGCAACATAGTAGGAAAATAAGGACAACCACGGAAATATCTGTAAGTAACTACAACTGCTGAACAAGTGAAAAAGACATGGGACCCTGGTAGAGGGTTGGCAATAACTGCGTTTGAGTGTATATGTCAAGATGAGTCGTGCATCTCGACAAGCAGTGCGTACCGTGTTTTGCATATTGTTTCAGGGCTGCTTTCACTCGTCATGCAGAACACAATATAAGCTGGTTTTGTTCCATTAATCATTTATCGTATATGCAGGTACACTGCGGTGTTATTCGAAGGTTAAGTCACATAAAATTGGTCATAAAACCTGGAGAAAGGCAGTGTAATATAGAAGAGACATCAAGCCATGATTAATATTTTTTTCAGTGTGACAACTGAAAGTGCCTTTATTTACACCTTTTTAGCATTTAATATCCTGGGGTTTTAACTTAATTTTTTTTAAATATATAATTAAATGAATAACGCTACATGGTGTTTGGGACTATAAAACAGCGTATAATTAGCACATTTTACACATTAAATAGCCTTTTTTTTTTTTTTTTTTTTTTTTTTTTTACTTTTAAAAATACTATTTTTTATTATAAATAAACAAGTGAATAACGCTACATGATGATTGGAGCTATAAAATGGCACCGATGCAAAAGGTAGCCACATAAAAGTAAGCATAAGATGCCAGCAGGTGGTTTGCTTTCAGTCTTGGATAATGAATGCGAGGCGTGACCTTGGGCGAATAAAATGAATTGTATTCCCCTAAGTTGTGACAGCCGAAGCGCCCCGTAAGCCGGTCTCGTTGCCAGATCTATGAAGCATTCATAAGGTCTTGCACTGCCCGTCACTGCCGCGTTGCTTGAACTTGGATATAACGATTCGTGCATGCAATTTTCAAGTATTGCTTGTTTTTAGTAGAATAAAAAACTTAACAAGAAACTTGCGTTGACTCAATGCCTTTTCTAAACGGCCATTTGGCTCTTAACTTGCATAGAAATGAGCGAAATTCATCAGAGACATAAGGGCAGCTGCTGTAAACTGAATGTCTAGTTTGGCAAGTGCAAGACTTAATGATTGTGGTCAACGGACTAAGCCAATGGTATAAATTTTGTGACAAATAGGGGTAGCACTTTATTGCAATCAATTAACCACACGGCAACTGGTGTATAACAAGCACAAATTGAATAATGAAAATGAATAATTGCTGTATGATTGATGCGTCATGGCAGTCGGGCAAGATAATTAGAACTGGAAAAAAAGCTCTTGCTTCAACTATCTCATAATGATCGAATTTGTAGTAAACCAGGGTGTATTGGTGTTTGGTTTCGACAATAATTTTAATTTGGAGAGGCACTTTTTTAAATCAATCATTTAATTATTTAAGACTTTTGAATATTCCTTTGGTCAAAGTATATACATGTAGCATAACGTAGAGGCCCATCTAGCCTGGCCATGGGTGTGTTGCATATGTGCTCTAGCCTTCACTTCAAAGAAAGTTCACAATTTAGGAATGTGCTTAGGGCAGTCATTATTATTACTATTGTGAACCTTCGCCTTCTTTTCCCATTCTTTTGAGCCGTGCTCTCCCGGACGATGTCAATCACCATGGCATCAACGCTCTACAAACTTCGATTGACTAGGATCAAATGCCAATGTGATCTTATTTAGTTAAACTGAGTCGGCGTCTTTTCACTTTTACAATGCCTTCTATCTTGTCTCTCAATCTTCCTTGGGGTGCAAGAAGGACTTTTTCCAGACAAATGATTGAAATGTTTACCCTATATCATAGAAAACATGTTCCAAATTGAGCAAATATGCATGGTAACTTTAGAGATACAGAAAAGCGCGATATGTAGATAAAAACCAAAGAAAAGTCTTCGTTGTGATAAATTGCTAACACCTTTATCAATCATGATGGATGCCGTCGAGAAACACAAAAGATAATGGAATATATTAGAAGTCATTTTACTCAATTTTGACAATCACCCGTCTCTACATGCAAGCACGAGTGCACATGTTGGAACCCTAAATCAAAGTCCCATTTTTCTTTATTTTTAATTTCAGTGTCTTGTGACATAAGCGTGGTGTCAGGCAATGTTAGGTCTCATAATGGTGTAAAATGTTTCATCCGATATTCAAGCTAGAATCTTGAAAATTTTCAACCAAGGAAGCGACCGTGCATAGCTTGGGTATGAGGTCGTAAAATATAGTTTATAGAGGCTACGTTAACCGAGAGAGACGACAAAATACTTTTTTCCTCTCCAGTTTTACTATCAGACGTTCAATTCAAGCGACATGGTCTGCACGTGACGGGGCGCTGTTTACACAAAGCACGGGTTAGAAATCTGCGTTCAATGCACGAAGCCCCGTGTAAACAACATCTCACCTTTTTCCCAATAATAAAGAATCTAAGCTTTTAGCCATGAACCTAGCCATGAACCCTTATAAACAGAGGATAAGCCCACCCGGCCTCATAATGCAGAGTTAAACTTGTAACAGTAGAAGTTGAGTAAGTAAATCCCCACCCATGGAAATTCACAGTCAATACTCAATCTTGTAACAACGGAACAGCTGATTTTTATGTACACATCTTATCTTAGGAAGGGCGATGTGGTAAGGGGATGGAGGGATGGGGATTGTAGGAGAACCAGGTGCATATTATATGAAGTTGCAAGGTACACAAATTAGTACACTTTCATTATGTGGTGTAAGTTCTCTACCCTACTCAAATCATATATTTAGCTAAAATTAAATAAAAAAATATTAAAAAATAAAAATGCTGGAAATCGTAAAAAAGTAAATTGCAAAAAATGCTATTTTAATAACCATATTAATTGGACGACATGCGGTCGATACAACGACTTTGGGATCGATATTAAGTATGGTAAGAGAAAAACCATCCAAATTACTGCCTTTATGTACATGCTTTTTTTTTACGATTAATGACCATCTTGTGTTCATTGGCTTGATCTTTGGCTTTGTGTTCTTTGAATATAAACGTGACATTTTACAAACGATGTAATGATTGCGTTTCTTTGGGGCAAAAATTGCAAAATTGGAGTGTAGTACAAATGACAACCATGCCTATTTTTGAAATAAAATCTTGTTCAGGGGGAAAAGTGACGTCCGCCACAGATTGCTGTTTCACCTCAAAATGTAAAGAATCCGAGACACCCGTCCTAATACTTGGAAAACTCAATATCTGTAGGCAGCAGATGCCCATACCGTATTCTGTTAGAGACAGAGGAATACCACTAGCAGAACCCTGAGACTCAGGGTGCTGGTACATGTACATCTATTAATTGAATTTTAATGGGAACGACCTGCACGGTGGATATACAACACATTAAATGGCATCAGTGGTGAAACATTGGGCAATTACACTGAAAGGTTGTGTGGCAATTCATTAAGGCAGGCCTACATACGTCTCCGTGCTGTGAGGACATGAAAAACAATCCCTCTGTCGAGAGCACGATGTTTCTCGCCCGATATCTGTCAAGCTGCATCGTGCACATTGCCATCATAGAACGACATGCTAATAACGAGTTACACGACGCCAAACGAAAGATGATATAAGAAGTATATATATGTAGCTACCCACATTCAACTGGTTAAAAGCTGCTTTGACCGACTTTCAGTTGCGATAACTGGTTAAACTGATTCATCGTCTAATCTGGGTTTTGTTTACTAGTTCATTTGATTCACGTGATTCTGAATTTCCAGCGTAACATACATACATACATACATACATACATACTTTGATATAAATCATATTTTCCGTTGATTACACGTAAAACGCCGTTTTGGGTACCGTTCGTCCGATATGCTGTAAAGCCACTTCGGCGAGAATTGTTGTTTACAGCCAATTTCAAAACGCTTGTATTATACATTATTCTTTGGAGACTTGTGTTCTGTACAAATAAGGTTTCTTTCGAACAAAAAGTATTTCCCAGTTACGTGGATTGAGAGTTAATAGCACTCGGTAGATCTATGGCAGTGATGAAATATTGTACTGTAGCCTATCCCTTAACTCTGATGGAGATACATGTAAATTCTGAGTGTTGTTACCATTACTCCGTACAGGGCAGTATAAATGTTCCTTTTTCCTTATTCGTCATGGCACACGAATCACCCGGCAATGATCAGCTTTAATTTTTCACACCTGTCCTTATAAAAAAATATTTTTAAATACAGAGACAGGCACATGGTATTTGTTATAAACCAAAGAATGCCATTCACTTAGCGAAAGTTGTGAAAACGTGTGTCAGGAAGGCAACTTAGCATAATTACAGGCCTAAGGGGAGAAGGATCGCTCTTTTGGCCTGTAAGAAAAAAATGTGATGAACAGGAATCTTCATTTTTGATAGTCAGCAGCTCTAAGATAGACAGAAATCTAAAAATTAGCAATTTTTAAAGCCTGTCTCAGTTCATTTATTAATGAGAAACAGAACCCACAGGACCTGGATGACCTAAAAAAGCAACATGGGTATTTTATCCACACATTAATTTCAAGTCAAATGGCCTCAGTGATTTAAAGTGAAGCAAGAAGATTCTTTATGATGTGACTGTTATTATATTATAGTGAGCGGTCGCAACTGAGCACTTCGAATTCGGTGTGAGACGCCGCAGAGCGCGCCTATTGCACGACAGCGTCTCCTGAGAGTTGACTGATTGCAGCATGTACTGAGTAGTATGTTCACTATCCCAAAAGACAAAGTGGGTCTACTTGATAGCCCAGTTGGCAACCGTTACTGCGTCAACAAAGGATTTTTCTCTTGGATCTCCAAATCTTCAAAAGACAAAACACTTGATAGCCCGGCCAGTTGACAACTACCAACAAGACAAATTAAAAGCAGTGATCTAGATTTCGATGACATTTAAATGCATCTTCGTGTGAAAGTGCAATATAGCATCCACCCTTTCGTTTTACAATCATCTAAACAAAGCAATACCTGCATAGACGATTGTTTGATCTTCAAATGACGACTTTTTATTCGAGTTTTTGTGGATCGGCGTTCGATTTATAGTACGTGAATGTACATGTAGTTATTATTTCAGCGTTAAAGATTCACAAATGTTATCAGAGGGCTTACAAAATATTACAGTTCAACCATATAATAATACCATAAAACATAATATTGCCTTAGTATTGTGTTATCAATTCTGGTCCATGTGGGTTCATTTACTAGTGTGATTTACGACCGGAACACGGCTTGATGTAAGGTCAGGGAAATTTGAGGTCACACATGAGGTCACTTTTGAGGTCACAAAAGGAGTTTGGCAAGATGACAGGATGGCGCTACTGCAAAAAAAAATGATAATGATAATAAATAAATAAATAAATAAATAAATAAATAAATAAGCGATTAATAAATAATACATAAAATAATACGTAAACATGCCATAAAAAAGTTGGCCTTTAGCACAACCATGGCGTTCTACAGAGCCAAGACAACAAGCCGTATAAGCGTCAACTCGATAAATGCTTTTTACAAAGTTACAGAACTTCTATCTTCACTTACACCAAGCTTCATCTCGTAGCCTTTTTCAACAAAGAACATCGCGTCATAGGTAATTTTTGTCTGGTATTCAAGCCATAAAGCAGGTTTGGATTTAAATCCTCAAATTGCTTTTTATGGGGTCATTGTTATTTCACCGCAGTGTGATTTGGTACATTCATTTGAAGTGTTTTAGGGTACTTAATTGTAAACTTGTGAAACAATACCTCGCAGTGTGACGCTTGGAGCAAAAGTAAAGAAGGACACGTTTCCTTTGTTGGAAGTTGAAAAAAATATTTCCAACAATTTTTCCTCAGACCAGATGACATATCTTATGTATTGTACCGGGTTCAACGTAGAGGAGACGGTTAAGCCAAATACGTATCCAGACAATACGTATTTTTTTTGTCGAAGGTAAATATAGATAGAAAACGTTTAATTTAGTTAAAGGTTTTTAAAATACTTTTTTTTCTTTTGAGAAGTGTTCTGTTTGAGAGAGAGAGGGAGAGAGAGAAAGAGAGAGAGAGAGAGAGAGAAAGAGAGAATCAATTTTGATTGGCTTATCCAATAGCTAACTAATACAATACTGAATATTGAAAGATATATAAAACAGTAAAATTTCACGCGTAGGCAGAAATTCACCTTCTGGCGTTCTTGTTGTTGTTAATGTTGAGGTTTTCGTACCATGCTTTGGCTTATTGACAATAAACAAGCATGGGCTAATTTTTCTAACGACCCATCCTTCACATTTGCGCCTCGTTTCCGATATACCCAAAATGTTCAGGTGTCTGGCCTTGGAATAGTCAGTGTACACCAGGTGCACGTGGTAAAGATGAGACTTCTACCGTGTAACCAAGCCTGTGCTACAGTTCGTGGGGTGACAATACACCCTTAAGGCTCTGTCACACCTAGCGTAAAGAGGTACGTAATCTTGAGTGTCGTACGTGAAATCAATTATACGCACAACTGTGAGCCTAGGATATCACTCTCTTCCCAGCGTATTAAAATGAAGAGCAGGGGATGAAATTGGTTTTGATCATGCTCAAAACATTTTATCTCCCTCTTGGAATGAGAACGTACATCAACGTTTTCCTGCGTACTTGAGACGTATACTGCGTAATAAACAAACCCCTTGCGTTTCTGTGCGTATGGGCATGTTTCTCAAACGTTTCAGTGCTATGCGCTAGATGTGACAGTTTCTCTAGCAGGGATACAGAGCGTAACCATATATCATAACTATTAGACTATGTTTATCCGACCTAATAATTCTTGAACTTCATAATCGTGCAGTGCAAAAATTTTAGGCTCTCTTAGCAGTACTGATGTATTTTCAGGCATCCCGGTGAGATGGACAAGGAGGAGGAAATCAAATTGAACAGTGGCAAGGTGAATGAGTCCGGCGTCCACCCCATACCAGTTGTTAGGGGTGTGGGGCGTCCACGCAAAAGACGCTGCAAAGACGTCAAAGACTACGGCTGGGCTTGGGTTGTGTGCTTTGGCTCTTTTGTTATAAACTTTTTGGCCGATGGGATTTTATTCTCATTTGGTGTGCTGTATCTAGAATTGTTGGACTATTTCGGGGCGTCGAAGGCTGTGACAGCTGCGGTGGGATCAACCACCATGGGAATGCACATGCTTGCAGGTAAGGCGTATTTTTTTTTTTTTTTTTTTTTTTTTTTTTACTAGGCTTTACGTTAAAGTCAACATCTCCCCACCAAAGGCTTTGTGTAAAAACAAATGTTTTATTGCTTTCTGTCGAGCAATAATTCAGCCCAATGACCAGAGCTAAAGGCGAAATATGGCCACGATTTACATAATATGAGCATAAATGGACTGCCTGTCATAATTTATGTCCATTTGTATCAGCAAATCCTTTTTACGCTTGATCGCATGTGCGTGAAATTATCTTCTCCAATCATCACACGGCTGCAGTTCGCGTCAGGTCAACAAGAAAGTGCTGTGGTCTTCTAAAACCGTCTCATTTTAGATAAAGCTGTGTAGTTTACACAGGGGTTTCATGTGCTACATGTACAAACCTGTATGAGTAACCCTTCAGGAGAGAATAAGAAAATTAAGCAAGGTTGAAGATGAGGTCCATAATATGACGTGAATTTAATATTAACTAAAATGTATACACACACATTAATACCCAGGACAAATTTAGCTTTCTTAATCTTAAGACTTCACAGCAGAAATGATAAAGAAAAATGACCAACTTAGTAGATGAATGTAGTCAGCCAAACAAATGTGGTATATCTACTAGTACGTGAACAATATTAGACAAGTTTGTTACTGTGTAAAACAGTATTCCTGTGTATATTTAAGTCTGATGCCATTTGTGTTATGGTGTAGAATTTAAAACACACCTTCGGAGTGTATGTTTATTTCTTTAATAAATAAATAAATAAATAAATAAAGTTTACATCTTAAACTTTCAACGAGCTTTTCTCAGCGAATTGAAGCTTGGACCAATAAAACGTATCTTCGTATTTTATTCGTCCAAGATGAAGGCCATCTTTGATGAAATCGCAATAGTCACGTCACAGTTATGGGTGTTCTAGTATATGAAGATACGTTTTGTGAGCTTTTTTAAAACAAAATTTTCTGATGTGACGTTCGAAATGATAGATAAGAGGGGCAGGAGGAGGTGATAAGATACACACCTTGAGTTTCAAGGTTAACTCTCTCTTTACCGCGTACACCTCTTGTCGTCGTTGCTGGACTGCAACAGAAAGCGTATGCTGTCCAGCAAAGAACGCTGTTAGATCTTGAAACACAGGGTGAAGGTGGGAGGAAAAGGGATATTTGGTGCTTGTTTTTACCAACTAGTCCTCATGCGCGTAAAAAACACTCCGTTGAGACGTTATACTGATCCAAGCCAGGATTCTGAACGCATTCTAGGTGCATAAATCGCTTTGAAAATTAAGCGGGTCACAGTACGAGTCTTGTGACTCGGATGTCGAGCCATTGAAAAGTGCGGGGTATTGGAAGAAAGCGAGCTTATGTGCGAGTTTTGATCTTTTGCTTTTTTCCAAAATTGTTACAGAGCTACTCTAGTGTCAGAAAAGGAAGACCAAAGATTGGTTAGTCGGGTATGAAATACAGTTTAACCCGGGAATATTCGTTAAATATGTGTTTTTGGCGAGGAAATTCTGGCTTGGACGGCGGTAAAGTCTGGTTTTTCAAACTGTGTTGCACTGTTCAAAAATGATTTGATAAACTAAAAACCAAATTTAACTAAGAAGCAAATCAACAAAATGAGTTATCAACGAATAAAAAGCTAAATTAAAAATAAACGAAAATGAAAATTATATATAAGTGCACTAACAATTAGATATTTACTAGTACAAAAATCAATGAAACCAGCGCGTTAGAGAAAACGATGTTACTCAAGTATCTGTTCTTTCCATATATATATGTTTATACTGTTTAAGATGGGGTTGGCAGGTTGTGCCCCAACTGATGACTACTGGGCTAATTTCAGTAATGTATTCTGTCTAAATTTGTGCAGTTACGCTGAGGTCATCCCCCAGCTAATGCCTGCTGGGAATAATGTATTATCTCTTAAGGCTACTGCAAGCCTCTATCATAATCCAGACACCGAAAATGAGGTTTTTCCTGCATCTAATTATTCAATAATGTATCTTTGTGTTGATTTTAAACATTGAAATCCCCTCTAAAATATAGAATATCGGCGTTTATAGGCAACTCAAAGCTTTCATCGTCAATTTAACACCTTTCTATTTTGAGGAGAGATAGCAATCGGTATGGGGCGTTACTTCCCCCTGAACAAGATTTCATCACGAAAATTGGCATAGTTGACCACGACTGTATGTGCTACAATCCCGTGTCGTCACTTTGGTTTAATTGTTTTTATTATGACGTTTTGATCCCCTAATTGCAGCTTTTCATTAATCAATGATAAAATCTGAACAAAGCCATTAAACCGGTGTTCGTGGGTGCTCAGGTACAGGAGAAATTTGAGAAACCCGTAAGATCAAATGTGTGTAAATGTTAATTAATTTAGTCGCTGAACACTGAAGATTCATCTGTTATCCAAAAGAAAGTATGTAAGACATCAAATAAGGAGTTTCTGGCAAAGGCTAACAATACCCTTAATTTGTGCAGTTATGCTGAGGTCATGCCCCAGCTGATGTCTGCTGGGAATAATGTATTATCTCTTAATTGTGCAGTTATACTGAGGTAATGTCCAGCTGATGGTTGCTGAGCCTATTGTAAGTTCTCTTAACGGGCGTCGTGACTTGCATAACTGAAGTTATGTCCCAGACACAGACTCTCACTTTGAAAACGCAGCGCCCGCCAGGTCTTAGAATTGTAAGACTGGGTTCCCATACCTAGATCGATCTAACAGGATCGATCCATCTCCGAGGGTTTTCTCGCTAAATTACTTTCAACTTAAGTGGCTTAGATGTCTGGCACGCCTACTGAAGCTGCTAAATGATAATTAATTACCCCCTAGCAGCTTCAGTAGGCATGACAGACATCTAAGCCGCTTAAGTTGATTGCTATTTAGCGAGAATCCCCTGGGAGATAGATCGATCCACAGTTAGTACGATAGGGTCTGGGAATGGTCCCTAAAACTCTCCGTCTTGTCCGTTGTTACACTGGGCCTCATGTCTTCCCTCAAAACTCGCTTAGTAAAACTGAGCCCACCATGCAGTAAATGTGGTAGTCCTATAAGATCAAATCAAAACATGATGGTGTGTTAGATTGACTGCAGACTTCAAGCCCTGACACCTATGGTGGCCACTTAGTGAAAAATTGAACTTCACCATTTGGATGTCGTATTTGACTGTTTTGGATATTTCAAATTCGGCCAACTGATTTAAGGATAAGGTCACTCGTTCACTCAACTATCAAATCAAGCGTATTTCCTATGATATAATTGACTGCACTCGATAGTATTACTTTTAAGCGCTAAAAAATGAAAACAGACAGATCAAAGGTACTTCTCTTTTCCCAAATAAAAAGGTGGATTAAAACAAGGAAGAAAAACAAATTCCAAGGACCCCAAACTGCACCCTTTCTTCAAACATAGGAGGTGAGGGGATGGGGGAGGAGAGAGTAAACTTTTTCTTATGCTCTTACTTAGCCCTGCTCATAAGGCAACATTGCAGCTATTGTTTTTTAAAATGAATTGTTCACCGAAATGCCGCCTCACTTAATTTAAATTAATTCCATGTTTTGAATGAATATCCAGATTATTCAACGCTCATTTTATATNATGTCTTCCCTCAAAACTCGCTTAGTAAAACTGAGCCCACCATGCAGTAAATGTGGTAGTCCTATAAGATCAAATCAAAACATGATGGTGTGTTAGATTGACTGCAGACTTCAAGCCCTGACACCTATGGTGGCCACTTAGTGAAAAATTGAACTTCACCATTTGGATGTCGTATTTGACTGTTTTGGATATTTCAAATTCGGCCAACTGATTTAAGGATAAGGTCACTCATTCACTCAACTATCAAATCAAGCGTATTTCCTATGATATAATTGACTGCACTCGATAGTATTACTTTTAAGCGCTAGAAAACAGACAGATCAAAGAGTACTTCTCTTTTCCCAAATAAAAAGGTGGATTAAAACAAGGAAGAAAAACAAATTCCAAGGACCCCAAACTGCACCCTTTCTTCAAACATAGGAGGTGAGGGGATGGGGGAGGAGAGAGTAAACTTTTTCTTATGCTCTTACTTAGCCCTGCTCATAAGGCAACATTGCAGCTATTGTTTTTTAAAATGAATTGTTCACCGAAATGCCGCCTCACTTAATTTAAATTAATTCCATGTTTTGAATGAATATCCAGATTATTCAACGCTCATTTTATATCGGATTGCCTTTTTCAGGACCACTGGTTAGCGCATTGGTGAACAGATTTGGCTGCCGCCGAGTGACTATCACGGGGAGTTTACTAGCGTCGTTCTCAATATTCGTCAGCACTTTCTCCCCCAACATCTACATCATGATAGTGACCCTGGGGTTCTTGACCGGTAAGGTGGCCCACATCGGACCGTACAAAGCCGGCTTCTTATTTCTACGTTCGCCTCGTCCTAGGAAAGGGGTATTGCTTTCTATTCTTGCAACGGTTATTTTTCCAGTTTTTATTTCTTGGTTAAAGTACTTGGTCTCTCTTTTCTCTGTTTCTGTGTTTAAGTTTGAGACACTTTTATATAAAGTAATGGTTGCCAAAAGTTCGTATTTAGTCTCTTTAAAATCATTCATTTGAATACCTCCATTTGATACTCAACTCTATTAATTGATACAGATGTCTTATTTCTTGACGACATGTTGTGTTTTAGGTCTTGGGATAGGCATGATGTACATCCCTGCCATCATCATAATTGGATTTTATTTTGAACGACGCCGGGCACTTGCTAATGGACTAGGGATGTGCGGTTCTGGCATCGGGTTCTTTGCGTATGCGCCTCTCACGAAGTACCTGTTCGAGATATTCTATTGGAAAGGTGGTCTGATTATCATAGCCGGTATAACCCTGCACGGAGTTATTTCTGGGGCCGTCTACAGGACTATCGAGGAGGACGATGAGGAGGACGAAAGCGATCTCACTACGAAGTCACGTACGCTACATTTGCAAACAGACGGTGCACCAAAACCAGTGGATACGTTTGACACCGGGCTTAGCGGGACAGAGCATCCTTTCTCCTCGCTTCGTTCTTTGAATATCAACAATTATCCTTGGGACGAGAAGCCCCATAAAAATTTTCTGTCTAATCCTCAGGTCAACAGGGTAAAAATGGAACACTTTAACTCAAGCACACCCCCGAACGCCCCAAACTCAATGGTGACACTTTCGCAAGACCGTGACAATACAGAAGCGCGCACATCATGGAAAAAGATGTTACCAAAACACAATCACAGGCTTAGTCATTCACGACGTTCTTTGAACTCAAATTCAAGACTCGGGCCCTTGTACAGAAAAGACATTTTCTACAGTGGAAGTATAATGAATCTGAAGGAATATAAAGAAAGTTCTAGCATCAACTCATTCAAACACAGTATGAGCAATTTGCCACTCGAGGAAAGTCCAGAACAAGTTGACTCGTCCACGTTCAAGGATGTCCTTGTAATGATGTTAGACCCAGTACTATTTAAGAATCCAGTTTTCGTTGTCCTAGCAATTTCACACTTTTTATGGACAGGTAAATTGCCTTTTGAGTGTCAGCAAATTCTTCACATGAAAACCAGTTTTGTGAACCTAACAACCCATGAAAATCTCACATTTTTTGTCGGCAGGTGTAACGTCTTTTATTGTAGTACTGGTAGTTACCCTACTATACCGTTTGCACAGGTCGCATTATCGACCTCTAACTACATAGTTCGGTCGCCAGTATATGACACACATTTTGTATTCTTTTATTTATTCATTCACTATACCACTATCTTTCTAACACAAAGTGAGCATATGGCATCTTTAACAAAAGCTTGGTCTTAGTTTTAACCTATAGTTAATACAGAAAACATACTACTGTCCTATAATCTTATTGCTCGGAGAAAAGCCTCCACCACTCTCTTCAAGAGCACTTTTTTGTCTTTGAACGATTTTAATTTTACACCCCTTTTCCATAGATTAGATCGACCTACTTTAGATCGACCTAACTCCCTGGGGGTTCACGCTAAATAGCTGTCAGCCGGGCGGACACCAAAGTTAATTACCCCCTTGCAGCTTGTAGTAGGCGGGACGGACATTTAAGTCGGATTATCTGAAAGTAATCTAGTGAGACTCCCCGCGGGGATAGATCGATCTAAAATCTATGGGAATAGAGCCTTACACCCCATTCTCATAGATTAGATCGACCTACATTGGATCGACCTAACTCCCTGGGGGTTCACGCTAATTAGCTGTCAGCCGGGCGGACACGAAAGTTAATTACCCCTTATAGCTTGTAGTAGGCGGGGACGGACACTTAAGGCGGATTATCTGAAAGTAATCTAGTGAGACTCCCCGCGGTGATAGATCGATCTAAAAGTTGTGAAAACAGAGCCTTAGTGCAGTACTGAAAATCTCCAGTATAGATTCGTTTGATATATAACGATGACAAGATTAATCTCAAGAAGCGCACTGCATTTAAAATTCTAAAATTCATTTTCTTTTATTTCTGTATTTACCCATGACACTTTTGGCACCACGCTATGTGTAAGATTTAATTAAGATTGCTCTTTACAGCTCAAACGACGCCATTCACCTACATTGGCGACCATGCCGTGCACCATGGTATGAACAAACAGCATGCCGCCTTCCTGCTCATGTGCTCGGGGATCACATCCACCATCAGCAGAGTGGTCATGGGTCTAGTGGCGGACTGCCAGCGAGTAGACCCATTGAAACTGTACTATTGCAGCCTGATTTTACAAAGCATTATATGTATGGCGTTGCCTTTCTGTCACACTTTTGAAATACTTATTGCCTGCGCTCTTGCCTTTGGATTTAACGCGGGTATGTTTTGGCTTGTCCAACGTTTTGATGAATGAACCAATAAAATGTTCTTTTAGTTTGTTGGTGAAATTTTATAGTTTCTACGAAGTATAACATTTATCATGATACTTTTTTGTAAGACTTGAAATATTCGATCCCGCCTGCGCTCAAGCTTTTGGATTTAACGTAGGTGGGTGTCGGAAAAAGAGCCATAAGAGGGGTGGCGTATATTTTGTAATGAAATCTTACGACAGAGCGAGTAGGGATAGTGAAAGAACAGAATGCTCATTTTAAATAACTGTTGTTCAAGATGTCTTTTGTATTGAAATTTTCGTCTGCTTTTCAGGTTCTTATGTATCACTACGAACCATAGTCATCGTAGACTTACTGGGAGTAGGGAAATTAACAAATGCCTTCGGATGGATAGCAATGTTTCAAGGCATCGGTTACATAATCTGCCCTGTTATAACAGGTACACATGTATACAACTTGCAATTTTTCAAAGAAAGTTCAGTGTTGTAAAGGTATTATATCTCTCCTACTGACACACAAACACACACATACACCGAACTTTGCATACAAAACACAAAGATGATGTTATTCTTTAAATGCACGTTTTAATTAATTATAATTCATTAAACGAATCAATTAACCTTTGTGATTGCCTTCATTAGGCTCCATTCACGACGTATCAGGGAACTTCTACGCCCCATTCGGACTTGCCGCCGCCCTGTTCTTTCTGGCGGGCTTGGTTTGCTTTCCTCTTCGCCATCTGGCCAGGTCGCGAGCCAAGTGCAACCTCTGTGGGGAACTGCTGACGAAGTGTTCTGGAAAGTGCTCCGAAATTGCTACATCCGAAACATTCTCGGGCGGTTCATAACTTACGGCTTCCTCCTGTGCGTGCTTATCGTATATTATAAGTGGGGCGGTTCTCTTCTCTTTGGACGATAAAGCTTCCAGAAATACCGCGCCTTTTCAAGCAGATGGCAAAGGTAGAGATCCCCGACTGTCTTTATACTTATCAATATAGACCTCGGACTAAAGACAATTTGAACGCGGACAGGGAATGCCCACACAGGGATGCTTTGAGGTTAAATTTTTTATCAGGCAGCAGTATAGTTTTTACGATGCAAATCGAACATATGCATTTTGCTTACTGTTGAAAAAGGCTATTCTGGCAATAGTTCTCCTTGGATACTTTATTTTCATTGGATGAACATGATATGCAATATCAGGTCATTATAAAACATTGCATGGATTTCTATACACCAATATTTGGTGGGTTTTTATTAAGCATAATATGCATTAAAACCAGATTTTATCAAAAGTTTTGTAAGATTTAACATAACCTCAATCTATCTATGCATAAACAATTTCAGAGGAATAAAATGTGTTAGAAGCATAATAGATGATCCCAGAAAACAAGACGACGAATAGATATTGGATGATGTTTGGACAGCTGACTTTCAGAGCAAGGTCACTGACATTGTTTAAAATGTTCGCTTTTTCACAAGAGTTACGATTTTCTGAATTTTTGTGTCTTATATACATGTACAGGTGCCATTTATGAATACGTAAATACAAAAATTATGCATCTTCATAGCATACATTTCGTGCTCAGTACATGTAGGCCTACTAGTACATGTCACTACATGTACACAGCGCAGGCCTATCTTGCAAAAACATAGTCCACAGTATTCTCATTTCTGATCTTCTTACCAAGGCACGTTCCCCTCCAATGCGACCATTGAGAAGCATTTAGTGTCAGCAATGATTGATTGCAATAGATCTCACAATTACTCTGTCAATATATTCATTAACAGATACTGAGGATATATGCATGGGGTCCTAGGCACTCGAGTCTCTTTCATGAAGCGACATGCGGTTGCGTTCTTGCGATGTCATATACAGGTAACTGTCATCCAGAATGTATTGTTCGTAGTACATTTCTGATGCCATGGATACTAAGGGAGAGCGGGTGCACCGTCTGAACTCTCAGGTGCAGACGATCACAGCGTGTCGTCTGCGTCTAGTTTAAGTGCCAATTACGATACGTGTATTCCAAAATGCTAACGTTTTCAGCATAATATTTGTATCTTTTTATTGATGTGACAGTAATTTGAGCACAAGCATGATCATTTTCTTTGTGTCTGTACATTTGGCAGCTTTGCTTTTTTTCAGATCGAAATGTTTTTAACCATATTTCTTGCAATTCAATTAGTTTTTACTTCATAAGTCAACCAATACGTCACCTTCCTTTGTTTTAATGAACTACAACGCATAGTACTCAAAGTTTAAATTATTATTTTCCACCAAATAAATGCGATAGGCATACATTCACAATTTACAAAAAGGAACAAGAAGCAAAACGTTCAAAAATAAGAAAAATTAAACTTTTATTATGAGAGTTGACAAACCTACATAGCATAGAGTATGCTTCACAATTTCTATCAAATAAGTGTTAAACATAATAATCACAGATAAAAGACGTTTCAATGTCTATTGCACCGACAAATTAAAGAAAAAAACCTTTGTTGATAAGCTTTCATTATGTAAGTAACTAAGTACCCTGTGCTGATAAAATTCATAAAAACAGTTCACACACATAGCTACTGTAGCCATAATATTGACAATTTTTTTTCACTTATTTTGAGGGGTTCTCACTAATATAGGCCCTTCCTCCATTAGCCCATTATCTAGGTTTATATGTCATATATTTATACTGAAATCATAATGTTTAAGTATACTAAGGTATCAAAAATATTTTTAAGAAACGAAAGAAACAGTTACATCAGACGCATGTATTTGGCATCAAACAAAGTGTACTGGAAATCATTTTTCTGAGCTGCATTTCCAGGTTTTCCACATATATGCAGTACACCTTTATCGCTCTTCCAACATTTTTGTATAACGGCAATATTCAAGATGTGCTCATACTACAGCCAGCTTGCGTGTTGCAGTACAAAAGTGTCGCTTCCTGCTGTGCACCTTGTCTAAGTCACAGCGAGTCCGGATGATTAACATCACACTTTGATAGCTTTTATGTCCACACCTGGACTGAGTTAAAAGAGTTACCACACCTGAACAGCATGATAAATGCCATCTTTAGACTATCCCGCCTCTCTTGCCTGTCATTTATAATGAAGAGGCTCTAGCTTAGGCGAACCTGGGTACCTGGAACGTCCAGGGCCCTTGGAGAATCTCCGAGAGGGGCCATCCTTTTCTGGGTAATCGTAGGCCTGGTCAGGGTACTGGAAGAGGAATTCAAGAAAAAATGGTCATCAGTCTTGGGATTCAGCACGTGTACACTTTAAAACATATTACATGCCATATGAAAACAGCAAAAATACCAACTTTCTTTGTTTTACAACAATTCAGCAATTTGTTGCCCAGGGATCTGAACTGATAGCCTTTGTGTAATCATTAACTCCACAAAGTTGATTTATTACCTGCTTTTCTACAAAACATAATGTAACTAAGTGCAATATACAATATATTGTAGTGCATGCTACAGCCTTTTTTTTTTGTACTGACCTACTTTAACTACAACTAAACTGTCTTTGGCAAACTTGCAAATACCAGGCAGGCCAATAAACTAGGTTGACATGCACATTTAATATCGTGGACCCAGTATATACTGGTACTATATAAATGTGAATGACATGTGAGGTAATATTGTATAGTGAGGCTGAATGTTAACACAAATCTGAGTCTCTATATACATGGATCTACTGCTTGTTGTCTTTCCAAAACATAATAGCACCTGCAAAACACTTAGAATCAATACTAATGCATAGAATGCGTGTTAATGTGTAGAAGTGGCAATAATTAAGGCTTCAGTATCCTTCATAATTGACCTTTTTTTGCCTACATTGTAAACAAGCTGGTCTGACCACTCCTGTTCAGATACATGACCAACTACAGCCACACTCACTAGCTGTGTGTTATAATGGACTGTTCACATGAAAAATCTATTTTCTAAAAATCTATTTGCGGTATTTTGTGATCACGGTCTGTGCCCTGAATACCCCGCATGTAATAACTGGCAGCGGCGAGAATTAATTACAGCTTTGTAACTAAGTAACTGGCTCGCGTTGCCCGTAATTACGCCGTGGAGAGAGAGAGAGAGAGCGAGAGAGAGAGAGAGAGAGAGAGAGAGAGAGAGAGAGAGAGAGAGAGAGAGAGAGACTTCATGATACCACAAATAGATTTTTAGATTTTTAGAAAATAGATTTTTCATGTGAACGGTCCCTAAGTTCATGCAGTACAAGCAGTCACCAGGATGAAGGCTCCAAGCTTAAGATCACAGATACAAGCCAGCACAAACAGGATTATGCCAGTCTAACAGTAATTTACTACATGGACTTCATTCGATGACACATAATGAATCATTAATGTGTTGTACAAATGATGAAGGCAACATGCTTACGAAAATCGTAGCCAAAGCAAAATAATATTTTTATAAAACTACAATGGGATCTGGGGGCCTTCCTGTGATGGCACATTGCATTAGATGTCCATTTAGTTACTAGAGTAGTTTACATAGGACTTGGAATGTTTTTTTTTTAAATTTTTCTTTTCTTTTCCCTATTTATTTATATATATATATATATATATATATATATATATATATATATATATATATATATATATATATATTTTTTTTTTTTTTTTTTTTTGAGGGGGGTCTTTTTTCTTTTCAAGAGTGTATAAGACAGCCTTAGTAAATCTGATTACTACCCCCCACCCCATAACAAAATTTCCACCCTTAATTTATTACAATGAAGCCACCTACTCCTCCTCTCTCTCTCTCTCTCTCTCTCTCTCTCCACCAGGTGTATATAATCAGGGAACCTAACCTTCAGAGGGAAATCATGTAGCACCATCTGTGAGCTTCGCCCAAAACCATGTTCGGCCTCGTTCAGCTTTATCATCAGTTCAGCACGTTCCTTCCCCCACTGTCTGGAGTTCTCTGCCAACTAGAAGATAACGAAAAGAGGAAGTATCTTAGACAACATGGCACTTGCATTTGCCTGCACTCACAAACAGCAGGACAACACTCCACACGAACTAAGGCCACATGTAACTCCAGAACATCAAAATTTTTACTCAGTTTCCCATTGTCTTAAATGAAAATTGTGAATGCCTTTGTGAATTAGTCATGATTATCAGACATCATGAATTAAACTACTATATATACACTTTTACCATTTTAAACTCTGCCGAAATCTGCATTTGAAGTAAAACCCATTAAGGTATACTTTCAACGAAATCATCTGTATCTTTATTATTACTATTAGAGAGCCATAGTGCAGTTTTAAACACTATGTTTTATTTGGTTCCATTACAGAAATCATAGGGGTGTTAAAAATACGTGTAGTCACATGCTAGCACCATACTAAGCACTGTGCTAAATGGGGCGAAACAGCATTTTAATTGCCTGGCTGGAGCCATGTTGATTTACTGGACGCCTCTGCCTCCTAACATTAGCATTATTTATTGCAAAAAAATAGCCAGGGTTCAGTCTTGCCAGGGAATATTAACAGAAGAGATATATTATGTGAAAAGCTGAACTGAATTGTAACATGTAGTGCTTCTTTCCATTTTTATTAATTTTTTTCATTTATTTCACTTCAATTTTTACATCAAGAATTGCATTAAAAATCACCAAAACATGTAAATATAACAGACAAAGAGTTGACAAGGCAGTAAGACAAAAGAGAAAGCCAGACTTGGGACCATACCTGTTTTTCCAAAGACATAATCCTGCCCTCTGCCTTATCCAGGGCCTGGTACAGCTCAAGCTTCTCTACATCATTTTCTGGCTCCTTGCCAGGATGTGGTCTATCCTAAAATTGACAAAGTCCAATGCAAAACAAATAAACAAAACAAACAAACAACATCCAAACTTTCTAGTAGGAATCAAAGATCAGACCTGTAGCCAGGATTTTCCAAAGGGGAAGATGCTTTTTTTTTCTGAAAAAAAAGTGGAGTTTTTTTACCCCATCAGTTGACCCACCTTGAGAAATGACATAAACTTTGATCAAATTTTTATTCAGGATGGGCCTTTTCCATGCACTGAGGCTTGAAGGAAAGTCCCGATGGGTATTCAAAACATGCACTTACACAAACATGCACATACATCTTAACAGTAACTTTAAGCCTTAAGTTTATTTGGAGATTTTATACTGTTGTGTTGAATTATATGCTTTTTGTTATGCTTGAGGATTGCCAAAACAGCATTCAGTTTTTCTATTTTAAGAAATCACATTTGTAACATGCAAAGTAAAGATTAACAAATTGCTTTACGGAGAGACTATTTTCCTTATTTGTTGTATGAAGTCTGATGCAGATTCTAGTACATACATTACAAGTACATGCATCAAACATCTTCATTACTTTTTAATGTTTTCTTACCTTCAGATCTTCAATTTCTATCCTAAGTCGTCTATTTTCGGCTAACAAAATTTCATTGGCTTCTGTAGCTGTGCTGCTGTCCATGCCTAGAAGCAACATGTGGTGATAAAACTCTCTCTCCCAGCAAAACAACAACAACAGTAATGAAAATATTAAAATAAATAAATAAATATGACAAAAAATGTAGTCTATTTATATACGACAAGATAAGGTTATAATCTTAAGAAATGATAGTGTTCATTGTGTTAGTTGTGACAGGAGTAATGTGGTGTGCAGACAGAACCAACACATTATGACTTAAGTTTTCAGGCCAAGATTGCTGAGACTGAAAAAAAATTATAAAAACACAACAGTAGACTAACTACTTCCCAGATCAAATATGGCTGACCCACTTGAATGTGTGTTGCCTAATCCCCACTGGGAATCTATTTGTTGTCTATTAGGGGATGATTCATCAAGTTTATGAGGGGGATGCCATATGTGATCTGCGGACGAGAGAGAGAGAGAGAGAGAGAGAGAGAGAGAGACTGATTGACTTCACGATAATTTGTTTAAAATATTATAAGAAGCATATACCTTTAATATAATGCACATACATAAACACATGCCTGTCCACCCACTCACCTACACATGCACACATATAATGACACATTTGCCCCATTTGAATACCTTTTGACTTTCCTTTACTCTGTTTGTCCAGTAATTTCTCCATCCTCTCAATGACTTTCTCCTGTTGTCGGCAGGCATCTTCAAGTTTTTTTACCTTCTGAGCTTTAGTCTGAAGTTTCTGAATGGCTTCCTGCTGAGAGCTGTGGGCTTGGTTCATTTTGATGTACTCTTTTTCCTTGTCATTTTTCTTGAAAATTAAAAAAATAATTATTATAATAATAATTCAATTAATTAATAATATTATAAAAGAGATGTGTTACCTACAAACAGTAACTCCATTGGTTATTTATATGGAGCATTATTCCCAGATATGAGAGGTACGAGTACCCTTAGCAAAATATTAGCCCTGCCAAAAACTTCTTGATAATTTGCTACAAATTTTCAAAGGATTTTTATGTTCTTGCGATTTGCTGCAAAACGTTCATTTTGCTATGGGGAAATGCATGCATACATACATACATACATACATACATACCCCAGGAGGGAGAATTTCTGATACACATATGATACACTTGTACATGGATGGCTTTTAGCCAAGTTCTGCATTACTGACACTTGATCCTACCTTGATAAGATCATTTTGTAACTTTTGTACTTTCTCCTTGTAATTTTTCAACTCTGCTGTCTGACTTGCCAGTTTCTGTTTTAGTGACACTGAAACAGAAAAGTGAACATCTAAGCCTCTAAGTAGAAGAGAAAATTAAGTTTCCACATATTCTACATTAAATTTCAAAATTATGCCCCTTATTAAAAGACCACACATTTTATGACGGTTGATGCTTTTTTTTGCAAATTAACATTTTGGAACCATCAACCTAAAGAACTATACTGATTAGCAATGAGATCTAGTATATTAAAAAACTGCAATATTTATGTCTGCATTTGTAAATTTTGGAAAAAATCATAAATGCTTTTTCCATGCCAGCAAGTCCCAGTGTAAACATTTTCAAGCACAGTTGTTTCTACTGAAAAGTTCTGTATCGACATTAAATCACTCAACTCACTGTATCTTGTGCAGATTTCAGCTTTTGAGATTCCGTCCAGTTCAGCTGAGTCCAGCATGAGCTTAGTGGCATCATTATAGTTGCTCAGACGTCTGCGCAAGTCACTGTTCTGATCCTCCAGGTCCTTAATCTGTTTTCTCAGAGTGAGAATGTCATCGCCCATCTTGTGAATGGCTGCCCGGTAATTTTCTAGCTCTTTCATTTGATGGTCCAGCAAAGCCATGGATGTTTTCTCCAAGTCATCACTTTGCCTATACAGCAGTCAAATATCACATATTTGGCTTCAGCCATTTTCAGTTGCATTTTACAAGTTTGAAATATTCCAAAGTACATTTCTATCTAAATTCTGAAAGACCTCTGTTACAAATTGCAAATTTACATAAAAAGAATAATAACAAAAAATAATTATAAATATTATTACACACTTAAGATATAATTATTCAACTTCTAACAAATTCTAAAATAAAAGGCCACCTTTCTTTATTTCCCTCTGGTTTCTTGGACTTCCCAGCCTTGGCATCTTTATCATCAGCGTCAGTGAAAATATACTGGTACTCTGGAAGCACGGCCGTCATTGCATTGTAATCAGGAAATTCTCCATCTTGGAGAGGCTGAAATGGAGGAATGAAACCATTTTCCAGTAACTGTTATACTGTTTTTTTGTTTTCTTTTTTAATGTGTAAGCATTCAAGGTCAAAGCATTCACTTTGACTGCTATGATCTTATTTATCATCCATGTGGTTTGAATTCCAGTTTACAAAAGTCATGCTACATGCATGTGTATACATGCTGTCATCAATTCCCTTACAGCATACAACTTAAAGACCCAGATTTCTTCAAATGTGGCTTTCACGCTTCTTTCATTCCTCATCTCCATCAGGAACTAAGTTGGATATTAAAGTGCATTCTCATATTCACTGTCTAATAAGTTATAACAGACCATTTTGAACAAAACTGCTGATATGGAAGAAAAAAAAAACAATTTACATTCTTTTGTTTCCAAGTTACAAAATCCTGACAACATGGAGATTTACAGTCAAGATACCACATTCCAACACAGACAGAATATAAAACAGAACTGAAAGCTCTGAAGTTTACAATCCATTCTGCTAATATGCATTTAGACATCCACATGTATGCTACATGTTAAATCTTGACAGTAACATGATACATGATCACGGACAACAATTAAAACAGCCATGCATGATGAATTGAGCTGTCCAATACTACAATCTGAATGTGGGTCGAGTTGGCTGTCGAGTTCTCTAGAGGATTTCCGCCCTGGCGATTGAACAGATGTATTTCATCACATTTATATTATTGCAGAGCTGCAAGCAGTACATACAGATCATAATTACAGTTACCTGCCATAAAAGATTCTGATTAACGAAACCCCCCCATGAGAGTTGGGAAGCCGCCTGGGATTGAAACATTCTTGTTATAAGTTAATTGTATATTTTGTTATCAGTGTGATAAAATGTGGCGAGGGCAATACAGCATAACTTTAATTACCACTGATAATTTTTTCAATTATGACTGGATAAAAATGTCACAGTGTATACTGGGTTACTATAGGAAAATTACCATGTGCATAGCAAGGTAAAATCGATCTACATTCTTTTTTATCTGATGAGTACTTTAAAGCTCAATCAAAAGCATTTTCTTTAGTACAACTTTAGAGGGAATTACACAGAAGCATAACAAACATTTTCAATTAAATATTCATTACCATAAAATTCTCTTTGACCCAAATTACATGTCTGCTAACAGCATAATTTCTGCACAAACACTCAAGTTTACTTCAACCAATAAAATATTGCTGAGCGACTAAAAGTACTAAATATCTTTGAAACGGGGAAATTTATTGATTGCGATGTGAAGAAATTTACTCTCACCGTCTCTGTAAACACTCAAGCAGTGGGTCAGTGAATAATCACAAAGACTTTCCATTTACTGAGGAAGAGATCTGCATGGGTTTAACACAACTGACAGTATAAAACAAATATTTGTGAAAAAATATGATTGATGATTATGCTGAGATTACTACGTGTACAGTACTCCAGACCAGTAATTAAATTAAGGATGAAACCCTGATATATGTCTGTTTCTCCACTCTTATGTGGGTCTAATTCTGACATTTCTTTTGAGCACACACACACACACACACACACACACACACACACACACACACACACACACACACATTGCTTACCTTTCTTTTAAATACCAGGCATTGTATTAGTAGATAAAAACTGATTAAGTAAACAACATCTGATTACATAACAGTATTTAACACTACTGAAACATGTGGTAGTATTCATCACAGACTGTGATGTCTACATGTAATAGCTAGTACATGTATGTATGGACAAGAACAAGGATATATACAGTGCAGGCCCGTAGCCAGCAATTTCAAAAGGGGGGTTCGTTTTCTGAAAAAGTGGACCTTTTTCCATAAAAACTTCATGTACCTAGATCAAATTTTACCTAGAGTGGACCTTTTTCCAGCAAAAGGGGCGGTTCTTTCGAACCCCCCGAACCCCCCCTGGCTACCGGCCTGCAGTGTATGTATAGTGCATGCATGTGTAGTTAAAAATGCATCTGTACTCTTCAAAACCAGTCACACCTACATGTACAAACTGTACATTGTAATACACTATACATGTATCATGTAACAAAACTCAAATACTAGCAAACATAGAAATAAATAAATGGCTAGAAATACTTAAACAGCTGCACATAACTAGGACCTTATATCCAACACTAGGCTACAGTATACATGTATATAGTTGCATGAAACCCTACCAAATGACAGCCCCTAAATAGTACAGTCTATACAAATAAAGGAATTACCTGTGAAGTATATGGCCTATAGTACATAGTCGCCATGATGGTCTTGTCTGATCAGCCAAAAACCATACACATCAACACTTGTCAAACTTTTCTAGAGCAGGCCACAAATTCTTTAAAGGAGACCGCCATTTTGAGCAAATTACATCCCAGAGCACTTTGCCCTCCTTACAGTGAAATCTGAGTAACCCCAAATAAATTTTAAAGGTCAAGCTATTCTGCACTGAATAAAGTAGGGCTCCGTCATTTGTGTGTAATGTTTGGGTAGGCTTTAGTGTACCTGACGACTATCAGCTAGAGCAGCAAGGCTGAGTAAACAAATACAGTTATCAATGTGAGAGGTGCAAAACTCTGGCTTTGATTGGCCCTTCCGTTACTCACACCTGGTTTGATTGGTCAAAACTTTGGCATAGGGGGAAATGCAAACTCCTGGAAGATATTGGATTTAAATTTCAAGCTAAATCCTGCTCTATATGAAAAGACATGCATATCATCATGTTTTAGTTACCATGCACAGCATCAAACAAAATACACAGAGTAAGTTTGTGTAAACACCATTAGCACTGGCAACAGAAGAAGAGTTTGTAACTAACTATACCAAGGTGAAGTGAAATATCAAAGAAAAATTATCATTTCCTTATCTCTATCACCTGGGTAAAACGAATGCAGACCACAAACATGATTTCTATGAATAGACCACAGCAAACCTGCAAACTCCTTAAGGCCTGACTCAGTCTTTCCAGCTAAATTACCATGAAGAAAACCTTCATTACTCATGTGATACCATGTACATGTATGATGGTCAGTGGTGCGTATGATTATTTATTAATTCATGTTTATTTCTTAAAAGTACTTCTGACTGTTGTGGAAAATAAAAATAAAGAATATGAAAAACTATACCTGTATTAGAAAAACCAGAAATACACAAATGGGAAATATTTTTTTTTCATCATAATTATTCAGAATCAAAAAAATATTTGTTTAAACATTTAAAATACATTGAAGTGGAAAAAGACATTAAAACAAAAATCAGGTATAAGGAAAGATTTTTCATCACAAATATTCAGGAATAAAAGGACCTTTAATCTATAAATCTTTCAAAAATATTAAAAAGGATTTCACCACTCACAGACAGTGGCTTTTTTCTTCCTTTAAACCTTTCAAAAATATTAAAAGGAAGAAAGGATTACACTACTTACAGACAGTGGCTTTTTTCTTCCTTTAAACCTTTCAAAAATATTAAAAGGAAGAAAGGATTTCACCACTCACAGACAGTGGCTTTTTTCTTCCTTAAAATCTTTCAAAAATATTAAAAGGAAGAAAGGATTACACCACTTACAGACAGTGGCTTTTTTCTTCCTTTAAACCTCTGAAAATATTAAAAGGAAGAACGGATTACACCACTCACAGACAGTGGCTTTTTTTTCTTCCTTTGGAGTGTGAGGGTGGGTTCTGAAACTGGCTCCATCTCTGAGTCACTGTCATCTTCTTGTTCTTGCCCCACTGTTGTTGGCCTGTCTTGTATACTGGGCTCCTCCTGGTGAAAATACTCCCCCAAAGTGTCATTTACATCATGATCCACTGTCAAAATCTCTGCTTTTGGTTCATGGACTGTTTCAGAGTCTGAATGAGAATGAGTTAAGTCCAACATTGGGAGGATGTCTGGGTTTGTTGCTGATACCAAGGAATCCGGTCTCTGAAGGAAAAAAAATCATTTTCCATTCTGGTGCATATCATGGAGAGAATTTTCCTCATTCTTTTAATATTCACCTGTAAATTAAATTAATTGATGATGAAATTATTCTACCTTTTAAAGATGTTATATTGTTGTGGCGCATGTACAGTAATTTCAATGAAATACTTTCTGAATAGTAAAAATGGACATTTTAATCATTTAAATAACAACATGGATTACAAAGAATGGACCAGGCAAATAACCTACGTACCTCGTTGGTGATCAATCTCAGCAGAAGATTTATTGCAGGCATTTTTCCATCAAAAGTGTTCAATGTTGAACCCTTAAACAATAAACAATGAGATATGACTTCAAATATCTAGGATTAAATTTTTTATGAATTTCAACATTTTTAACCATTTTCAGAAAGAGCTGTCACTCTTGTATGCTATAAAGTGTTTATTTTTTACAATCTCAAAATTATCTTTTTTGCAATGGAAGCATTAAAAATAAAACAATGAAAAGGCAAAGGAAATGGCGAGACTCAATAAAATCATGCTCAAGCTGGCATAATGCTAACCACACCCAGGTAACCATTAAATTACTCCATTAAGCCCCCTTTACACTGGACGGCATCCTTTCTGCCTCCTGTAGTACAGCCCCGTTTGAGAATAAAAAAAAAAAAACTTTACATGCCAACAACAAGCTGCTTATTGAGCATTCTTATTGCAATTACAGCGATGCTTGTGCCTCCTTTCTATGACCACAGCGATGCCAGTTTCATGGTCGCACAAATTAAGGACGCAGAAAGGATCCGTGCCCTCCAGTGTAAAGGGGGTTTTACACACAAACCTGTATCACCAGTCCCTCCACCCTGAGCCCCATCCCAGCCCTCTCAGTTGACAGCTGCTTGTAGACATGCTGGTCGAGCAGCAACGTGGCAAACCCCACTGGACTACGCACCCTCCATGTCACCTCATTCAGGGCTGGAACAGACCACAAACACCCTGAGTGTCAAAGGTCAATGGAAACCCTACTCTACAGGCTGATCATAGAGGCAAGTTTCCAGCATATCCTCTTAAACACAGGGTGTGCTTAACTTGGTGTAAAGGCAAATTTATGTATGTCAATTAGCCAAAATACAATTCTGATGTATGGTAATGCTTAATGTATTTCTATACCATTGTCATCTGTACCACAAACATGGATGGGTTCAAAAAGTAAACTGAATTCATCTTAATTAAAAATAAGTTAAGACAAATAAAAATACAATATATTTTTCATTCTCTATGACCAAATTAAAATTTGTTTAGGATTTGGCTAAATTTAATATTGGAGTATGCCAAGACCTACATGTAATAGTCAAAAGAAATTTCAAACAAACCATATTAGTCTGACAATTTTCTGTTGCAATAATAAAAAGTATCAAATTAAATACAAAGATTAATGACACATTACCCATGGAAGCAAAGTAAAACTCAATTACTAGCGCAGCACCAGGAGTGAAGAGAGTGGCATTGTCCCGGACATTGTTGAACAGAAATGGATGATTCCATACTGGCTTTTCTTGGGGATAGCCAGGAAGTGACACCTAGCAGAGAAAGTCACTAAGAGTTTATATAATTAATTATAAACAACTTAAGGGAAAAAATGAATGTACCTTTTTCAATTCTAAACAAAAAATATAACTGAAAACATTTAACTGAAAAAATTCAAAAATATTCAACAATCCATTATGGTATCTGCATAGCAGAAAAATTATTTTTTCAAATTAATTGTACACTTTATCAAATGGAATGTCTATGACAATTTTGTATCTTTGGCAACTCCTCACCTGTGGATACCCCTGTGACTGGTGTGGAGCAATAGAAAACGAAGAAGGGTGAGGTGAAGGAAATGACACTGTACTAAGAGTGATCCCTGCTGTCCTGGGGAAACTGGACAAACTGGACTGTCTGAAATGGTCAAAGTTTCAACTATAGAGTAAAGCTGGGAAAAATGTGAAAGTTAAAGTTCTGACACCTGCCAGAAAAAAACATTCCCATTGCTTCATTTTAACCTAAACAGGTTAAATCTAGTAAATGTAACAACTTTCGTAAAAATAATCTGATCATACTGAGATTCTTTAAAAAGTATTTTTGTTTGAAATGATGGACAAATTTTGTAAAAATAAATTCTAAAATGAGTTATATCTTCAATGTTTAAATCATAGGTGGTATGTAGTCAAATTTTATAAATAAAAATAATATGAACCAAGAAGGAAAGCATCAAACATTTTTTAAAGTTGTACATTTTGTAGTTACTGCATGTATAGCTGGAGTGAAGGCTTCATAACACAGCAACTAATGTTTAATAAAAAATCACTTCATTTGGTTACTGTGTGTGATCAGTCAAGTTAAGTAAAAATAATGATACACTTAACAAGTCAGAGATCCAATAAGCAGAATGATGCTTAAAATGGGCATGCTGCTTCCTCCTTGATTGCTGGTAAATGTTTATAAGCACAAAAGATCCATCCAAGACACATCTTTTGGTGAAAGACAATTTAAAAGGAAAAACAACATCAAACAATAAGGCATAATGCTACTGTCCACGTACTTGTAATGATGATAGTCAGGCACCACCCTAGCAACAGCTATCACAGAACCTCTGGAGTTTACAAAGGGCTGGTGGACTGATCTCAGAAGTACCTGAAAAATGTTGTTTGTAGTTTGGGGTTTTTAAAAAGGAATGAGGGGTGGGGGGTGGGGATCAAAATTTTGGCACACATCATGCAGCAGTCTGATTCAAACCTATAGTCAACTAGGTTTTGTTTGGTTTTGTCCTCAAATAATTAAAACATACCAAATCATCGCAAAATATCACTTTTCTTTATTTGTTTTACTTAACTAGTCATTTCATTGTTTTTTTTTTCTTTAACGTTAAAGTCCATAATTAAAAGTTCATTTAAATTAACACCCATAGACTAAACTTCAACTTTCAAAACTTTTAAAAATAAAAGCATAAATAAAATGCAAAGTGGAAGTGAAACTAAAAGCCACACCCACCTCCAGGGCACAATAGTTAGGTGAAGACATATCCCTGGGGAGAGTGCTGGATTTCCTCATCAAGGACACAAATAATCTGGAACCACTGGGAATATCTCTGCAGGGCTTCAGTTTTTGAAATCAAGTTTCACTTTATAACTTAAACTATATACAGTGAGTACATATATAAAAAGTGCATTTCAGTTATAAAATGGATTATTTTACATAGCACATTTAAACTGGTTCATCGACAAAACTTGGATAGGAAAACTGTGTTC